ACCTCAATTCGTGTATTATTTCCCAACTTGACTGAGTGAGAAAAACTCACATCCAAGTTGGTAAATTTCTCCATGTCTCCGCACATATGGTTTGAGCAACCTGAATCCAAGAACCAAACATTGTTCTTCTTTGTTTCCTCGAGTTGTGCCATGAGCATCATCTCATCCTCCTYGTCGAACTCTGCGTAGTTTGCYTCCCTCCATGTTGGGCATTCATATTGGAAATGACCCAATTTGTGGCACTTGTAACACTCGGTGGTTGCTCGGTTATATGATTGTCTTCCTCGGCCCCGTCCTCTTCCTCTAAAGCTTGATCTTCCTCGAYCTCGARCCCYCGTGCCTTCATCGAAGTGGACCTTTAGRACTTGCTCTTCTTCCTTGTCATGTTTTTTGAAYTTCTGCTCATGAACTACCAGCGTGCTTTGTAGTTCGTCTATCGACATCTTCTCGATGTCTCTGGACTCTTCAATGGATACCACCACGAACATATACTTCTCTGTGAGGGTCCGCAAAATCTTTTCAACTATCTTGACATCGGGCATCGTTTCTCCATTGCTCCTCATCTGATTCGAGATCGTCAAGACTCTAGCAAAATACTCCGTAATCGTCTCACTGGATTTCATTTCAAGGACTTCGAAATCTCTTCGTAATTTCTGCAGTAGTGACTTCTTAACTCGTTCATTCCCTTCGAACCTCTTCTTCATGGAATCCCACACGGTTTTCGCTGTACGTCTATCAAGAATCTGTTCAAACGTTACCCTATCAATCGCTTGATAGAGGTAGTGTTTCACTTGTTGATCCTTAACACGGGCCTCTTCCAGTCGCTTCTTCTGTCCCTCGTTGAGAACAATACCAGGTGAGGGTTCTTCAAAACCGGGGTCGATCAGGTTCCATAGTCTCTTCGCTTTCAAAAGGTTCTCCATCATCTCACTCCAGTGCTCATAGTGTCCGTCAAAATGGGGCACCTTCAGCTTCTCCTCACTCATTTTCTATTCTCGGTTTTGATCGATCAGCTCTGATACCAGATTGTTAGAAGAAAAATCAAGAAACAGAGACCAAAATTCGATGGCTTTTTATTGCTGCAAAGAGGGCCTTTAAATAGCCACAGCTACAACTAAAGCAAGCTAAGGAGAATCAAAAACAGAAAAGGAAAACTTCTAAGCTCCTAAAGAATAGGATTATTCAACAAACAGAAAAGACCAAGTAAAAGTACGTGCACTGCACTTTTACTTCTTCAAGCACTTACCGGGTAAGCATTTGGGTTAACGGCCCGGCCCCTTAGACATGTCTTTGATTGCTATACGTTGACGTTTAGTTTGTTTGCAATGTTTGAATTTGAAAGGTGATATATCGCGATTTCAAGTCATCGAATGTGCTATTGGATGAAAAATTCAACGCGAAGCTTTCCGACTTGGGTCTTGCTAGAGAAGGTCCACAAGGGGACTGTACACATGTTTCTACATTGGTAAGTTATATATACCGGGGCTTAATCATTTGAGAATTCCAAAATTTGCGAGATTCGTGAGAACTTCTATTTTAAGGTTTGTGTAACATGATATCTTTTCATCTAAACTATAGTATTTAATATATTGATTAACATATATTTATTTCATAATGTGTTTGTTTCATATCTATTCGATGGTCATTGTGAAACCTTTTTTATGTATATTTGTTTCACAAACACACCAAAAAGGTTCACATGTGAAACACACACATTGTGAAACAAATATATGTTAATTGATATTCTAAATCCTAGTATTAGATAAAAATATTATATGAAATAGCACATGATGCACTAGTTCTCAAGGTTATTATAATTTCATGAGTTCTCAAAAAAAGGTCTACTGTTGTATGAAATATATGTTAATCGATATTCTACTGTTATTTTCAGCCTGTCGGGACATATGGATATGCTGCTCCAGAATACATCGAAACCGGTCATCTTAAATCGAAAAGTGACGTATGGAGTTTCGGGGTTGTACTCTTTGAGGTCCTAACGGGCCGGCCGACTGTAGATAGAAAACTACCGAAAGCTGAACAAAAGCTTATCGAATGGGTGAAACAGTTCCCTCCTAATAGCAGAAAGTTTTGGATGGTCATGGATCGGCGTTTAAACAACCAATATTCTCTCGACGCTGCTCGAAGCATTGCAAAATTGGCCGTTAGCTGCCTCTACAAGAACCCGAATGATCGACCAACAATGAGCCAGATTGTCAAGGGCTTGAAAAACACGATTAAGGAGTCCGAAAGCGGACTTATTGTACCTGAGAAACGGAGTCCTGTTTCTAAGTCATCTACCTGAATTAAGAATGGTTCATGACTGCTTTGTTTTCCTAATGAAATGTTTCTACTGTGCATCTAACACTTGTACCCTGTGCATCAGAGCTTGTTCCATGTGCATTCATTTCTTAGATGGCAGGATTAGAACCCGGTTTTATTTCATCATTCCCTTGTCTTTATCCACCACGCCACGGGCCTTTTCCAGTCAGAATTTTGATGGATATATGTTTTGGGGATGAGGGATCGGAAGTCCCAATGATGAAAATACGAGATCTAATCGCCCATTGACGAATACAAAAACAAAGATGGATCGAATCTAACGAGCACGATAAAATGGTCAGTCACAAAAGTGAAACACATGCAACAACATGGCAATAATAACGATAAGTAACACAACACGGTACAAAGACTTGGGTGTTTTTGTTATCGGTGTGACAAAGGCTTCGTATGGCAAAATAACGACAAAATAGCCAGTAAACTAGCTAGCTAGCTGTGTTAGTTGGTAGCTAATAAGCTAGCCATTAGCCGATAAACGAGTTAGTCATGTTTGTTATAAAATAGTTGATAAATTAGACGACAATTTAAAAAGACTTGAAAGGAAATATGTTGAAAAACTAATTGGAAAAAAATATTAATTATGGACATAATTAGAAATAAATGAGAAAAACCCGTAATTAGGGCTCTTATTAAAACACTACTACAAGTAAGACTTAGCTTATGGACTTACCAAACGGGATTTGTTCAGTAAGCTCAAAAGATAAATTGGTTTATTAATGTCAAACATGATTAATTATAAGGGATATGTTTTTTTCAGTTATTTTTTTTCCATTAAGCTCTATATGAATTAACTTGCCCATATACTTAACGAATATAAATCGTTATTTGTTTCTTGTGGTTAACAAAACTATCTGAATGATTTAAATGATTAAAAAACTCTCATGATATAGTACAAAATGAAATATAATTGTTTACAACAAAATTTGGGTGCTTAATGATTAACGGAAACCCATGATACAAAATCCTTCAGAATGTTTTAAAACCATTAAGAGACAATTTTTTTTTTGTCAAACAAAATTCATCTTTTAATTATTCAAATGATGTCTTTTAATGAAACTATCAAGAAATAAACAAACAATAGAATCTATCTATATATCAATTAATTAACATGACGAGGATCTGTATAATTAAACGAATAGAGGAACGACAATATACAACTTTTATTACATGATGTATGAAAAATAATAATACACTTTTTCAATCATATTTCTTCCTTAATTATTTTTCTTGCTCTAAATTTCCTCATTTTTAAAACTATATATATATATATATATATTGTACGTATATATATTTACACCAATATAATCTCCTTATCCTCCTTTAACTTTTTCATCTTGTGGTCAACAAACCGGACATAAAGATCCGTCGTGCTCGAGTCACTTTCCGGCAACATCACCCTTCCACCTTCCGACATGCTTCTCACGAAATTCACCAGCTGCCGCCAGTTCTCCGCCTCAAACAACCGCTTGTTCAGTCTCAAAAAGGTGAATGCACATAACCCGTTGCCTGAATCCGATCTACTCGTGGCCAGAACTTGCCCGTAAGCTCCACCGTCGTATCTTTCCAATGCGTTTTCTCCCGCCAGTTCAATTCCAGCATCCCTGACCGCCAACTTGACCTGCCGGACTAGCCCTTCCGGCGAGCAATTCGCATGTTGTGGCTGCTCGCCGTCTTTCATTTCCATACACGTGAAGTTGAAAACGACACTGTGTTTCGCCAACATCCTCGCAATGGGTAGATACCCGTCGGAATTTCTTGTGTTATAGTATCCGGCGGTTAACTCGGCCGCATGAGACCTAGTTTTGTAGTGCCAATGGATTCCGGCAACTTTTCCTGAAAGCTTTGCTCCGGTTCCCCGGAATATGCTGTCGGCGGATCCTAAGATTCTGTCACCGTGTTCCAGTAGCTTCCCGGAATACCATTCCATGAAGAAACGGCCGTAGTCGGTGTCCCATGTCCCCTCTCTACGGAAGAATCCTGTGTCCTCCGGGAACTGGTTGTACTGGCCGGAATCATGTGGCCCACTTTTTCCCCAATCTTTCCGGCCATTTTCATCTGCCACAGCTTCCAGTGATGCTTTCATATACTATATAAACATATAAATCAACAAACAAGTAAGAAAAAACCTTCTAAAAATGGAAAATTAGGGTTAGGGTTCATCTTTGACTAAAATCAATTAATTACCTTATCATAGCATTGAAATTCTCCTATTCCTGGAAACCTCCATGTCCCATTACTTTCTGGATAAGATGGATACCTCAACTCCCCACAAGGACCCAAACCCACTTGAATTTCCTGCACATTTAAAATGAATTTATAATCTTTTTTAATATATTATTATGAAATTAATTAAAGATTGAAAATTTATATAATACATATATCTTACCACAATAACATCTCCCAGGTAATTCTTGAATCTTTGTTGGAAACTTCTCATGTAATCGGCATAAACTTGAATCGGAGTTCTTCCCCGGAGCACCGGCAAGGCGTCACAACCTAACGAGATGTATTCAGGGTTTCTCCGGCCAGATCTATCGGTGTACACAAGATCAGGGTTTCTGCTGATTTCTTCAAGAACCCATGGCGGTAATGGAATGCTATACAATATTCAAAACAAAATTGAAATATTATAATCTGTAATTAATGAATATAATTAAGTAATTACTGATGATTAATTAATACCTGCAAGAGTCTCCAACATTGCCTCCACACTGATGAAAAGACATAACAGCTTGGAGTTTTAATCCATGTTTTTGAACCATGTTCACAAGTTCAACGTACCCTTCCCAATTATACCTCAATGGTCCAACTTTTTCGACCAAACCCCACCAAACATCAACCATTACACCTTCCACTCCTGCAGTTTTCAACGCCATCAGACTCGCGTTCAACGCCTTCGGTTTGTTCAAGTGGCCGCCTATCGTCACCGTGTCCAGCGGCAACATCACGTAGACCGGGACCCTCGAGTTGTTGTTGTTGTTTCCGGTCTGGTGGCCGCTCGATAAAGCATGAAACCTCTCTTTCTGTCCATTATACCCTTGTTCGAAGGGGGATACGATAGTCATTTCGCGTGTCGATTGAGCATGATCTTGTATTGAATTTTTGACTTTCAAACGACATGATGAAGGCTTGAACTGTGCAAAACAAAGAGTGGTGGAGAAATCATCGAGGGTTTTGAGAGTCTTGATGTCTTTTAAGTAAAGAAAAGAAGTAGAAGAACGAAGAGTCAAAGCCATTTTTGTGTAAATTTTGAAAGAAAATGAAGAGCTGAATGATGAATGTGGGTATGAAGAAAGGGTGTTTTTATAAAGAGGGATTTTGATGGAAAACAATATTTGTGGGGTCATTTTTTTAGGAAAAAAGTGCAAGAAACTATCAAAATTAGTTGGCCAAGAGACGTGTGGATCGACACAATTTCATTAACTGGTTTTTATTTCTGAATATTAGAAATTTTTATTTTTAAAAAATAAAAATAAAAATAAAAATAAAAATAATAACTGATGATAGAAATTATTAAGCCATTTAACGTGTTATACATACATGTCTTATAAATACTCTCTCCATTAAGCCACTTCGATATTATAATCCATGTTGTATTATATATGCATTTACTGGTTGTACGTAATACAAACATATCATAATTAAACATGTCTAGATATTTTATAGATGCAATTATAGAATATTCCATGTTCAAGCATTATATATATATATATATATGTGTGTTTGAATGCCATATATATATATATATATAGAATAGATCTTTGGGATATTTATTGAAATTGTTGTGACCTTATCTATTCAGCCATGATCCACAAATGTAATTAATCATGCAACATATATTGTTTGTATTATATTAGCATGCACAATTCAATGAACCTTTTGCCAATAATTAAGTCGAGATACATGTATAATATTACAGTTAAAAGCATCAATAATTGGTTTACAGAATTTGTAAGGACAAATGATTCTGACTATATAACTGGTCGTTTATTTAACTTTTATCGAGTAAGAGGTTACCGACAAGAAACATCACTTTTACTTACCTTATAGTGTTGTAACATTCTTGTACATTAAAACTGATTATTGGTCTGGTAAGCGTTTTAAATAGAGTAACAATTATTGGGTAAGAGTCATTTTTCTCACTTCACAGGTAAGATTCTAAGTCAATGGTTTTTCGCGAATTTCGAAACAGCTTGTGATGTAGTTTTCATGCTTGCGTGGACTTTGTTATCGCTTTTTTGTTTTGGTTGGTGGATATTTACACCTTATCTTCTCTTCATTTTCTCTACCACAAACCATTTTAAGGGATTTATTTATATTTCATTTTTCATATATATATTTATATTATTTTCCAATAACTTCTATGAAATTTATTCAAACGTAAAACACAATGTAGATATAAATTAATGCAACCAACCATTCCGTCTTACGATACAAATATAACACACACACACACATATATATATATAGGGGCTGGTTCAAATAGAAACCAACCATATGGTACAAACTATGTGAACCGATCTTGATCGTTCATTTTATCATCAAACGGTTATTATTAAATGAGATTAAATAAACAATAATTTAATTAATGTATTAATTGATATGTGTATGAACAATTGTTCAAAGGGTAAATTGGTCAAACGGTCATTATTAAATGAGTATTAAAAAATAATCAATTAATCATTAAATTAATTGGGCTGCTTATGAACAATTGTTCACAGGGTATTTTGGTAATAAATACTCACGCATCGTGAACCCGATATTCTCCAGCCGATTTGTAACCTACGATCGATTATGAACATATTCACAACTCATGTTCACATGTCGGCCGTATGCTCGTGTGAACAGCATCTGTGTCTTGCAATGTAAACACTATGTTCATATGTTCATATATGTTCACATGTCGGCCCTATGTTCGTGTGAACAGCATCTGTGTCTTACAATGTAAACACTATTTTCATATGGTGTGATGTTTTTCAATGTCATACCGTATGACATCGTCACGGGTTCGTGTRAACAACGATTGTGTCTTTCAATGAAAATAAGTTGTTCATATGGTGAACATATATGAACATAGACTGCAAGAGATGCACATATATGAACATTTTCAAAATCAAGGATCGTTGTGCATGTGTGTAGATATGAACATAGACTGCAAGAGATGCACATATATGAACATTTTCAAAATCAAGGATCGTTGTGCATGTGTGCAGATACGAACATAGACTGCAAGCGTTTATCGTCTTCATTATTCTGACATTCTTTTAAAATAGGATTCTCCAAGTATCTTGAACGAAATGAAAATCTTGTACACTTAGACAACCAATTTCAATATATGTATACAATCAATTGAAATGAATACCATGAACATGAAATAATAAAGAAATCATAAAAATCTCATGAACAATTAGATGTATCTTTTAAGATTTGTAACTCCCAATTAATTATTGGGGGTTACAAAAAGGTTGAATTAYCAAAYTRCYCTTATCATTAATTTATAATTTAGATTTGAACCTAAAGTGAAGAAAGAATGTGATTGGTCAAGATCGGTTTCTATAGTTTGTACCATATGGTTGGTTTATATTTGAACCAACCTCTATATATATATATATATATATATATATATATATATATTTTCAGTGCAGGTTGAGTTGGAGTAAATGAAAATTCGTTCCCATTTTTAATTATTGTCTGAACCAAACAGCCCAATTTAGAAATACTGTATTAATTCTTTATAATATGTTAAATATATTTGACTGTATATAACGTAATGAATACGAAATATTTGAGAAAATAAACGAGGAATAATTGAATGGCTAGAATTTGCAACATTACGTGGAAATCAGATTATTTTTATTAAAATTTGGTCACGAATGGTTGTTTTTTAAGAAAATATGACACTTTTTCCGAATAGTGATAAAATGGGGTATGTTAAGTTCTCACATGGTGGGCAGTCGACTGGTCACCGTTCGTTCCAAGTTATTCACACCCACATGTTTTTAATAGGCTTAATTACACTTTATTTGTGTGTGGCTTTTATTCACAACAAAACTTAGGGGGTTGTAATTGACAAATACATAAACTTAAAGGTGTGTCTCGTAAGATTTGTAGTATAAGTAGACAAGGTTTAATTTGTCAATCAAAATGTCGGATACAACTCTTACAAGAAGAGGATAAGTAAGTTTTTTTTTTTTTAATTAATCTGGATATCTAACTTGTTATGCAAGACGATTAGTTTCAGAATGACTACCTGCTTTACGGGTAGCACGGAGTTATTACATTTTAACCTTCATGGCTTTCCAGGGGATTTTTATTCCTTCTTGGATTTAAACTTGAAACCTCCAGATACTTTTGATCTTTGAAGCTATTATCTCAAGATATTGTTTGACATGATTTTGGAGTTCTCAAATGATTAAGCCCTTAGGGGGTTAATCATTTGAGAATTCCATATATTGTGATAACCGTGGAACTATTACCTTAATGTGTTGTTTCATATTTTTTTCTCATTTAATGCTAGCCTTCAATGTATTGATAACATGTATTTGTTTCACAATATGTTTTGCTTCTTATGTATGCGTTTCACAATGTGAAACTTTTTACGTGTATGTTTTTTCATAAAGAGGCTAAAAGGTTCACACTGTGAAACAAATATATGTTAAACAAACATATTGTGAAATAAATATATGTTAATCGATATTATAAACCCCTAGTCATAGATGGAAAAAAAAATCATATGAAATATCACATGATGCACTAGTCCTCAAGTATCACATGTAATTGACTATATAAAAGGGTGTTCTTGTGTTTTCCTAAAATGAAGGTATTCTCGTTTGAACATTTCCCTATATATAAAAATGTAAAAAAAGTTTACAAAAATTAACAAACGAATCTTTGAGAATTTGGTCATGTTGAACATCACAAAGATTTCTTGATAGAACTTCTTGAGTTTTGACAAAAAGAATTCCTTAAAAACTAATATCATTGAAACAACTTTTCTAAATATACAATGTGGATGTAAAAAGTAAAAACCATCTAAAACTTGTCACATACTATTTTGTTAAAAATGGCAAATTGCATTAAAAAAATAACGTATTTTAACCTGATTTTTATTTTGAGTAACGTACTTTTAAAAATTTTATTTTGATACCCAAAATGTAATGTTTTAAACATTTAAGTATCCGGATAACCAGTTGAAGATTAATTTTAGATTAAAAAAATCTATGTCACTAACCACATAAGCAAATAATACTGAGTTGCATACTACATCACTCGCCACAACATGATAACCGGTTAATGCTTCAACCAGTTACCCGGGTACTTAAAAGTTTAAAACTTTACATCTTAGCTACCAAAATGAAAGTTCTAAAAATACGTCATTCAAAATATGAATCAAGTTAAAGTACGTTATTTTTTCATGCAATTTACCCTTTGTTAAAACATTACTTTGTTTTTTTCATTTGGGCTTCAAATGTCAGAAGTGTCTAAAAATCCCAGATTCGAATCCAAGGAGGAATAAAAATCCCCTTGTGACGGAGGTTCAAATGCGATGACTCTGGGCTACCAGAAAGCGGCTGGTCGTCCTGGAATTAGTCGACTGACATAGCGAGTTGGATATCTAGGTTAATAATAATAATAAAAACATGCTAGCCAAGTACATTACACATACCATCTTGATAAAAAAAGGTGCTGATCTTTTGACATGTTTGTGACTAGATATATTTTGTTTTCCAAAACTTGACACCCAAAAAAGTACAATAATGTCAATTTAAACATATACAAATATTTTGATAAATGGTCCCCTAAATTGGCATCTACAATTTTCATTTTGCTTTTCAAAACTTGTGGTCATCTCTCTACCAAGTCATGAACGCTTTAAGTTCATATAACCTATCTATTCACGACCTTTTATTTCGTGATCTAACTTTGAAATATCACTATAACGCATGTGCGGATGGTACAGGGACCGAAAGTGTAACTTTCAGACAGGAGAATCAATAATGGTTTAAAAACTTTACACTTGAAATTCGATTCACACTAAATATATGTACTGTTTATTTGTATCTTGAGTTTATACTCAAAGACCTGATATTGGATTTGTTATATATAAAATGAACTTTTACATGGATGCTATGAAGTATGAACTGGTTAGTTTGTAGAAAAGAAACTGTATATGATTATACTGATTATGCGTCATTGATATTGTTTTTTAAAGAGAAACAAAGGAAAAGGATATACGTATTTATAATTTCTTTGATATAACATTGATTTGATGCATTAAATGGAACTATTAAGAGGGCTCGATCAAAACAACCCTCTCTATCTACAACAAAATTAATTGTATAAAACAATTTATATAGTTATAACTGTCTAAAATTTGGTTCATAATTATCTGAATATTGTTTTGAGACTTGCCCAACCGAAATATGCATCATAAAACGTCATTGAAGGGCATCTTGTATCAGTTATGTGTAAATGACTACTAATATGTCTTTCTTTTACTCGATTAGGTATTAATTGAGTTAGAGACCACTAACGTCAAGAACATTAATCCAGTTTTAAAGTGATTAATATTTAGTGATGGTTTTTGACCATCAATTGATTTTGAAATGTGTATATATGGATGTATACACAAATGAACAAGAGTAGTTTTTGGCTTTTCATCTAAACCACATGTTAAACAAAGTAAGAAAAATGAATATTAGTGTATAGTATTTACTTCTTACAAAAATGTGAGAACACTTTTTGCTGTAATCAATCACATGTGATACTAAATTGGAAAGACGGGCGACTTTTGGCACGACCTAGGTTGCGGGCCAAACCGTCCGCACATCACCAAGTGTCCTCATGTGTATTATCACATGCATAAGAATGTTCTTGCATTTTCGTAAAAATAAAGGTATTCTCGTTTGAACCTCCACCTATATATATGTATGCGTAGACGAATGATCATGTGAGAATAGAAGTTAAGGTGAGAAGTGTAAGAAAAAATCTAGACCCTTGATCACTTTTAATCTCAACCCCATCCCATGAATTGCGCTTCTCATATGAGTTGATCCAGCATACCTCATTAGGGATGATGTTCAACTAGAATTGATCCAAGGGTGAATATTTCTTCTTACCCTTCTCATTATAACTTTCATTCTCACTGAAACTCAACCCTGTATGTATATATGTATGTATGGAGAAGTGAATTATTGATTAATGTGATAGATCGATGATGAAAGAAATAATAAACCAAAATATCTCGCTACTTTTGTAATCATTCGAAGAATAAAAATATAAAAAGAACTCGAGGAATGAAAATATCATGTATAATAGATATTTTGATGGCAAGATACTATTCATAGTTGCTATCACTTGTAAAGTGCTACTGATATTTGGGTTGATTTTTAATATTAGTATTGCCATAATAAGATCACGTGTAGGAACGTATAGGATATAGGATTTGAATCTGAATTGTATGTACATATACATACATTGAATCTGAATTGTATGTACGTATATATGTATGTATATATGTGAAAACTTAAAAAAGAAAAAGTTACAATATATAAAATAAGAATGGACAAAATATATGAAACTTGTTTGATGCTTTAGGAGATAATTAAGTTTTATTTTAAGGATATATTGGTAAAATATAAGTTCGTTTCACCTTGTTCCACAATATTTTTTTGGAATGATGTTTCAGACTATAACTGAACTAATCCCGACAGATTGTGACGGCATAAAATCAACCTTGAAAAACTCAGTGGCCACAATAATCGTGTACACTTGAAATATAACTGTTGACAGATGAGATATTCCTGCCCCATCTCCCAAGGGCCTCATCCGTTACACAACCCTTTTGAAACAATGATCGCTATTTTGTATTGTCCTGTTCAGTATACCAAATGCACCCCTAAGGTGCGTTTGATACGCTAAACATGGATCAATGTTTGGGCAAGTTTTTCTCTTCTCATTTACCAAAATGATGTTAAAACAACTCATAAACCAGATTTATACGATATACCCTTACATTATTCTCTGCTTTAAATCCGATTCCCTTTCCTGGACAAAATTCGCCTCTAAAACTCAAACAGCAGCAAGCAGACACAGTTTTCTTGTTTACATAAACAGTGAAATGGATATCAATGACCACGCACTGACGATGATGACGCTTCTGACGTACGAGAGGAGTCATCCATCACTCTCATAGGCTTCCATCCTGCTTCCTCCCTCGGCTGCCGTAACGCTACAAAATGAAGGGCCGGACTGCACACTTGATAAACGCAACAAGTCCAAGGGTACGACTCTGGTGCAGACCACACCTGCTCTTCTTCAAATGTCGTTTCCTCGCCAATTGATTCCGCAATGCAGTAGACAACATTGGGTTCTGGCTCTGTAAAACTGGAAATGGCAACACAACCAACAGAAACATAGCCTTCTGGAGGTCGTGGTCGCCAAATCGATACCGGACTCATGTAATCATCAGCACAGTTTCTCCAAACCTGCAGGAAAAGAGCCATGCTTACACTAATAACCAGAAAGAAAAAAAAGGAAAATAATAATAAGAGCATTTCACAGTCAATGTCACCACATAAAAAAGGAACATTCTTTCTATTTGTGAAACATATGATTTCACCATTTGTGAACTTACTCAGATTTTTATGTCAATGATCTAATTAAAGGTTCCTACAATTGAGTAGTCATTTGAAAAGCAATAGCATATGTTTATATCTCGAAATTCAAAGATTTACACTCTATTATTACAATCCGATAATTGACAACAATATAGTCTTCAGTCTAATGAAATACACAAATAATAATGTTGTATTTTTATCGGTATGGCTTTAAGAATCAAATACAGGAAATGAATATATTTGTACGTTCAATATGTGTTGGTATTATAAATCATTTATTGCGATGATTCTACACATTGTTCAATAAAAAATGTTTTGACTATTGGTAAAAAGGCTTCTTCATAAGAATAAGTTACAGAAAACTTGGGAACTGAAATCATAACAAAACTAAAATCAGATGTTCATTCTCCATAAGAACTAGTTTAGGTTAGTTTAGGTTTCCATTCTATACCGTTCTTTCTCCTTTCCTGTGACTTTACATAAGATGTGGATTATCATTAATCGACAAGCGAATAGTTGAATAATGTGCATGGGCCCACAAAACAAAACTGAAATTTAACAACGATACAGATGCAAAAGTGGACCTAGTGCTGGAGAATGACGATAAAGGGGACATTAATATCTCATTTGAATCATATCTACACGGCGTTAATGGCAAATAAGAGAGCCGAATTGCATGGATGCTAGTTATGTTAGCTTCTTGTTCCCTAATGAATATACGAAAAAGCAGGTGGCAAGGAAGTCTAAAATAGTACTGGGTTTGATGTTGCAAGTGTTCACAAAAACTCTTACCAAATCATAGCCCAAAGGGAGTGCAAATAGTCTGTCTGTGTTCTGATATACTGCAGCAACATTTGGCGGATGGGTTCCAATACGAGCTATATCCCCAACTGAGATATACCTGGAAGATGCATTTGTGGATATTTAATATATGGGTGTGTATATATATACCAAGCATCTCATATATGAAGATATGCTGAAATTGAACAGCTTAAGCCGATCCATGAAAATCTGCAGATGCAGTGAAACTTTGTAGGCCTAAGGAAAAAGATATTTATTTTCCTAAAAGCAGCTACTAGAATTCAGCCTTCTTATTAGACAATAAAAACACCGCTTGAAAATTTGGACAATTATCTCTGCTGATGCAATTGAAAATTTGGAAGAAATCATAGTTTTGAATTGTCCAAAAGAAATGGCTTACACATGGATGTCCTTGAATTCAAATAAGTTAATAGAAGATCCAAAATTTGTTGTCGTGAGTGGACATGATAATTAACCTATGTTATTGGCTTTTCTTTTGTTCTAAATTTTGCATCAATAGCGTTGAATCATTCTTCAACAAATATGAATCTTTGTGATAGAGAACAATAATGCTTATGTTAGTCAGGACAAGATTTAGAACATACCCTTCTGGGCAGATTGGCCGCCAGATGCTGCATATTCCTCTATCTTCTACAACCTGACCAAGAGAAAAGCAAGATAGCGTGATCCATGTAACATCTTTGCAAACAAACAGCGAAAATAGACAAACTACGGTTGAGATGTTTACATTCTTTGTGCGGTGCCCTTTCAATTCTTGATCGCTGGTCCAGACTTTCACAAAGTTGATAACATATTTAACAAAACTGCCCTTATCAGAAGTAGACCTTGGGGACAAGAAATCTCTCGACTTTAAGATGGATTTGTTCTGATTACGAGAGTTCCTCCAATCAGTCTCGTTCCAAGCGAAAGACACATGCTTCTGGCTAGAAGGGACCTGCAGATGAAGGGCACAACATGCCATGAGTTGATGGCCCCACGTATGTTATACTTAAATAAACAGTGGTATATGGAGTCAGAAGGTGAACTGAGGCAGTATATTAACCTTCAGTATTAGGCTTTTCAAGCTAGACTGATAAGCTTTCCACATCTTACGCACCACCAAGCATATCCTAACAGCTTGGGGATCTCTTCCCTCAGATTCTTCTTCAGTACTACACTTGATGACCCGGACAAAGTTCTCTGCTCTTTTGAAGTTTCTGAGATGAAGGATTAAATGAGAAGGTCTTGGATTACCAGCTTTTGCCAACTCCAGTGCCATGAGATCTTCCCATGGCACATCCCACATGATTTTACATGGTTTTTTATCCATCTTCTCGGGAGCCAGACACTGTGCATGTGGAATACACACCTCGTAAATATCATTGCATTTCAAAGTGGCAAGACTAACACTTAAAATTAGAGAAACTACAAGTACACGGGTTTGGAGAAAGGAAGAGTTACAACCAAGGATTCATCATATACCTGAAGCAACATGACTCGCTTGCTAGTTACCAAAACGATCCTGTGGTATGGAACAATGAAATGATCTTCATAGAGATCAGACCATGCAAATTTAGACGGCTCCTTAAATATGTCGGTACATCCGAACCGACGACTGGCTTCCGCAAGGTAAAGCATCATCTGAACAAAATAAAAGAAATATATATATAATTTCTCATGGAAACATATCTTAGACATATGACCTTCAAAATGAAGCCCAGTTTGTAGAAAAAACGAAGGCTTTCTAATCTCACGGGCATATCTATAGCAATAACCAATGTACCAACCAACTCACCACAATTCCTCTACTTTATTTTTTTGACGTACTCCTAAACGTAAGGCTACTAGTTATCATTACACTCATGGTAAAAAAAATCTTCATATCAAAAGAGATCATTGGCACTATATACCCATCGATCAAATTCAATATGCATGTTGATAAGATACTAAATAAATGGATTAGTAGTACAATATATTCGTACTAACTTCACATAAACATTAATGCTAAATATGAAAACCAAATCTTTCTTTTCAACAAAGAAAAGTATGAAGAAAATATAAAACAGAAAAGGGAAACAAATACTAGATGAAGTTCTTATCATCTGTCGGAGAAAAAAGGGTGAATGGATCTCCGGATTCGGAAATAAATTCAATTTGTTATGGTTAGAGCACTTAATTTAGTAATAGTTATTCTCCTGTATTAAACAAAAAATGGATCTTTCAAGAGAGACAATTGATTGGAGAACTTCCAACTTTTTAGCCAGAAAGTTTTGTGCTACAATACATAAACATTAAATTTTATATGGTTTTAATAATTCCCAAGTTTTTATCCTCACTCCACCTTTGAAGTGATACACTTGAAGTGTCTTTTAGAAAAAGATTATTTAATCAAGTATGCAAGCTTCTTTTCATACATAATGTACCACATGTAAAGAATGAGGCCAAAACTACTTTAAAATGATCAAAGCTCTTAGGTATAGGGTGTTCAATGCACTGCTGTACAACTCTGGGGGCAGGAACCACCGCTGCTTTTTGGTCAGCATATGGCTCTGCCCTCTGCACAAAGAACTAATAAAAATTTCAAATACTACACAAATAGTATATTGAAATTCTGAAGTAAGCCATGTTGTTTAACATACCTGCCCAACAGCTTCTCTCTCACAATACTCTCTAAGGACATTGTCAGCACGAATAGCCCGTGGATTTCTAATCCTGTGTATGATGGTCTTGTTATTTATAACTTCTAGGCACCTCGAACAACTTGCACCAATTCCATCGACAGTCAATGAAAAGAAATCCAGTGCTCCACTCACTGGTTGTACTACGAATCCAAGGAAGGCTCTCCCAAGTCCATGAGCAAGCCCAAGAAGACCATTCTGTCTGGCGCTTTCAACAGGTTTTCTCACTACGCCAGAAACCCCAAAAACAACACCTTGTGCAAGAGCTTCTGTCCCTTGTAAAAATCCATCCCCTACCCCCGTTATCCTTCTTGACCACACCTGGGACCATATTTTAGTATCAGATATAATTTCCATTGTGAAAAGTCTTCGACTAGAAAACCTTTGAGAAAAACAAACCTGCTTTGAGCGCAGTTGCAGAAACTGTCCATCTGTTGAGAGCTCAGCAAATCCTTTACTTAAAGAAGCCAATGTGGAGCTTGTCATACCCAACACATCCACAGAAAAAATTAAATGCAAGGGATTATGGATAAGATCTCTCCAGATGCGGTTACCAATGGCAGGAACAACAGAACTTTTTCTCATGTATCGGTCTCGGTGCATTACTTTCCTCAGGTGGAGCTGGAGATGAGATAGCTTTTATGAATGCCATTTGTATTCAAGTAAAATTTTGCACACTATTCAAAAACATAGCCGGACTAATTTTGACCTAATTCTCCTTGCAAAAAACTAAAAGTCGACTGAGACAAGCATGGCATTAGAGGGAACTTTAATAGGTAAATAAAAAAAAATGCCACTAAAATTAGAATGGTTCAATCCAAAGAGTTAAATTAGTTGACCTGAAGTTTAAATGCATTTCCAACTGCTGATAGTATGGGACTCCAGACACCTAGCACTCCATGAGGTCTTTGAGCTGGTGCAGTCTCCAAAGATAACTTTAGCCGAACTTCTGAAACATCTATCAGGCTGCAACCAGGAAAAAGATTGTGTTACCATTTGTTAATCTACCAATGTTCACAGAACACCCCTAACAAAGTAAAAAGAAGGATTCACTTGGAAAAGATTCTTTCCCATAAAACATACTCAAAACTCAAAAGCTATATATCTAATAGACATAATTTTTTAAGTATTGTGCAACATTTAACATCAAGATTGCTCATAACACATACATTGGAAAAAGATCCTTTCCCATAAAACATATTCAAAAGCTATGGGAAATTGACCAAATTAGCCATTTAGACGAACATCTTCACTTTTTAGACAACTTTTTCATGTTAGAACCAAAAATATTTTGCAAATGCCTCTTTCGTAACTTGTTAGCCAACTTTTTCATATTACAAAGAGATAAGCAAGGAAATAGGTTATTACTTGACATGTATCTCTGGATCAACTTGTGCCACACTTGAACTTTGGGGGATACGATCAAGTTGAAGATTCCGGAAGAACTCTACGAAAGCCCAGATTATTGGCTCATGAATGTTCAATGTCCAAGTTTTGTCAGTTACCTACAGTATTAACACCAAAAGTTCATTATGCATTGGAACCAGCTTCCATACGCAAGGCAGTTCAAAGACCACAAGAAACCACTCATTACCCGTATGTAGACATATGGGTAGACCTCTATACCATCAGGGTTCTCATTGCATATTGTAATAGTCATTTTGAAAACTGGATGATGCATATCAGAGGCTTCTTCAGGTGCCAAAAGGACAGGCATCAATGTCAAAGGAAGTTGATTGTCAAGCTGCAAATGACCTAGTATCAGCTTGAACCTGCCATTATTCAACAAGACACAAAACTTGCTCAATATGCTCGTGACATATTTTCTGATCAACAGACGGTCATATTGTGCTGCAAATTTATTCATCTATGGGAACGTAACCAAACAATTGAAAATACAATCACCATAAGGACGGTGCAGTTTTGATTGCAATGAGAAACTCTAACCTGCTTGTGGCCCCACTATCATAGCCAGTTGAATAAGATACAAAAACCCTTTCCAAGTAAAGGTAAGAGACCTCTTTTGGTCTATGGTCGACAAGAGACACCCCAACGACTCCGAATTCAACTATTAGCTCCAAAGGAGCTGCATTTTCCTGTTCTATGCTCGGCATGTTGGCGCTCCTCCAATTTTCAAAAGATGTCAAGGATCTACCAAGTCCATCTGATTGTGATCCTGATGTCCTGTCATCGACAAACCTAGCAACCTTGATATTACCCATTTCTACCACATGGAAGAGCAATCCCGTTCCTTCACCACATTCTAAACAAGCTCCAGACCTATCCATATCTAGTTTACATAGCGAAACCTGATTATTGATATGCACCTCAGTATCTATAAACTTTTCACCATATGGATCCACCCAGGAGAATTTGGTACTCGCACGAGGTTCTAATCGGATCCAAGCATCAGCACCAAAACCAGACTGGCGAATTCTTACAACTTTGCTACTTGTTCTGTTTTCAATCCTGTTAAAGATAAATTTTAAAAATAAGGCAGAAGTACAGAAATACCTGTGGCACCCTGAATTATTCTTCCTGTTGTAAAATACACAAAGTTTTTCATGGGTACCTAATGGGACCATCTTTTGGTCCACAACGGAATACAACAAGAAAGCGCGATCCCTCTTCATAACCTCGAATTTCGGTCCTCAAAATATCTTGAGTACCATCTTCCTTCTTCAAAACAATAAATATGGTGTCCTCCCTCACAATTTGAACCGGAAATGACCATTCTGTGCCTTCCGCTCGGACCTACCAAATAAATGTTATGTAAATAATATATTATAAAGAAAAGGCTTCAATCATTCACAAATTGAGGAAGCATTTGGATTTAGTATGTCATGACAAGAGAGATTAATTAGTCTGAATAAGAGTAAGAAAAGGAATTCTCGGTCCTATTTTTAGCTCCAGTTGAAGGTTGATAACCTCCAACGAAAAGTGGAGGTGTTGAGGCTGGAATAATGACATTCATAACAACACTTAATCTCTGATTATGCCATGAGCTTTTGTGATGGTCGGTTGTTGTTTGCGCATCATTTAATATTGTTGGCTAGTTTATCATGGAGATGTGATATGTTGGTGCATTCAGTAAGCAAGTAAAGTTACTTATATGTCAACAGAGTACATCCTTTAGAAAAGGTGTTCAATTATAAACCTGCATACAGAAGACCCCTACTCACCTGAAGTTTACTAGGTCCATCAGTCTCACGATAAACAAAGGGGACTCGTACATCAGATGATCGCAACAATTTTTGGGGATCTTCACTGCTTAGCTTCAAATATATGTCTCGACCAAGTCTATTGGTAAACGTCATAAATGGACGCACGGTGATCACCTAAGTTGGACAATGAAAAGATTAACTTCTGGAAAAATACAAACCAACTAAAACATCAAAATTTATCAGGAACCTTTGTTGGAACAGACTGATACGAGGTTGGTTTTGAAGATACGAAGAGAAGCATGCAGTTCTGATCAGCATCATAAGCAGAGATGCCCAATGAACCATCCTAAGAAAAACAAAGAGAAAAGGTACTTTCATAGAATTCATAGAAGAAAAGCAAATCACTGGTAGTTGGAGAATACATATTATTACCATGTCACCAAGTGGAGAAAGATCTCCAACAGCCCCAAAATGATCATTTCCATTGTCACTAATAGAAGCCGACAGGCCCCACAATTTGAAATTCAGAGCTGAAGCAATAGTATGGCCTTCATGAAATTCCTCCTCAGTAATCTCCTCTAGGATTACTTCATTTGTCTTTCTGGACTTGAAAGGGAGGGAGATGCTTCGTTTTGTTCTTTTTATGGACATATCAACAAGCCTAAAAGTAAGTGGTGGACATCTAGCAACTGTCAACCAATAGGGAGAATAGATTCTTAGGATCTTTGGTGCCAAAGGCCTTTCACTCTCATAGTTCTGTTCAAGAACTATATGAACAACCCTGCATATACCAACAACAGTGACACATGAGAAAGCAAAAGAAAAAGTAAGCCACGTAAAAAATATGAAGAATATGTTCAGACCTCCCAGAAACTGAACTTCTTAAGCCTAATGTTTTTGCTGGATCAACAGAGGGATGAGATAAGAGCACAGCCTCCTGCAAAAGACAACATAGTAAGGGAATTGCAACGACAACAAAAACATGTCAATTGGAGAATAAATGTTAGAAACAAAGGGTTGATTAAGAAAGAGGAAATGCAAATGAACCCAATTGTAATATCTCACATGTATTGGCAGCCACCCCCGTTGTGGAAGCAGTGAAAAGTACAAGGGGTTTCTAATGTCAGCATTCAGGACCTTCACAGTTTCTCCTGGAGCAAATACACCTCTAGAGCATGCAACAAAATGACCACTTGTTTGCATCTCAAGAACCGAAAATTCAGCCATCAGAGGAAGATAATTGGTAATAGAGAGAGGGGACTTCACTACAATACTCCAATCCTGAATAGGATCAGAAAGAATGTCCTTCGAGATCTCAGATGCTTGAATGGCCAAACAGAACCACATTCCATGTGACCTACTTGACGATGATCCGCTTATTTCAGAGCAGAATAGAAGTTCCTCAGATTCATTCAGATTTGAGACATGGATACCAGAAGTTTGTTTGGGTGTATTAACATCTTCTGACAACACATGCTTATCCATCACAGAGCTCCATGAATATTCCTTACGATCATTCAGAGCAGAAGGCCTCAATTGCAGAACATATAATCCAGAATGGACGAGTCCAAAAAGTGGAAGTGGAAGACTTTCTCCAGGTTTCAGTTCTCCAACAAAAATCTGTTTCTGTACATCCTGCGAAGTTCTTTTCCTGTTACGAATCCATCTCCTTTGTCTTGTGTGGTTTTCAAGCTTAACAGGACTAACAGACGTGTCCAGATGCCAATCATCAACCCATTGCCACCCCACTGGAAGAACTACACCAAAAGAATCCTGTACAATTGACAATTATTTTGACAACAGTAAAAAGATCAAATGACTTGTCAATGCAATTTGTTTATAGTATTTAGTTTTCAATGAAAATATCAAAGCTCCACAGAAGGCAGACGTTGGAAAACACTAGATCTTAGTCAACAGACCATAGTCACGATATTAGATTATGCAAACATTTGGCACTAGAAAATCAAATTCAGATGATCAGAACGGTGTTTTATTTTCTTAAACTGTAACTTAACAAATTTCTTGTCGGAGATCCAAGTAACAAGCCTCAGGCGTGTACGACTTATTGATTTAAATTTCAGAAATCAATATGATGCAAGATTTGACGGTTGGACAACTGACCTTTGTCAGCTTGAAAGATCAGTAACTTAATGGACACAAGTGAAAGGACATAAAAAAATCATAAAACAACTGAGTATACTATCAGCAGATGCATCGTAATTAAGGGTTAACTAAATACTGCACCTTGTGCTCTTAGTAGTCTACTTTTTACAGCTTTCAAGTTGACATCAAGAAGAGCATCTATATTAGTTCCGGGTTCTAGGTACATCATAAGTTCAGACATATTTCTTACTACAAGTTGTTAAAATGCTTAATCTATTATGAATTAAAATGTTGAAGAAATTATGAGAACTGGATCTGGATTCAAACACCAAGATACTACCAATTTGCATTTCAAGTCTCTTTCGCCTGTATAAATTTGTATATTCCACTATCCATGCAAGTAGCATTTGTTTGCAAAACAAACTGTATTTCTGATTATATTAATAACATAATTAGGTTACCACATGGATCATTGCTTGGAATATTTGTATAGGGATCAATCACAAAGAGTTACATCCCCCACTATATATGAACTTGCACATGGAACATATTATAACCTTGATATACAGACTAACCTGGTCAGCATCCATTACATCCAGGGTGCCATGGCCAGATTGAACAAAAGTACCAACCCAGCCAATTGCGGGATCGTATTTTTCAGTTTCAAAAAATCCGTCCGTCTTTATTTCATCGATTGAGGATTCCTTTCTGGCATTGTCTAAGTTATCCAAATTTTCATTAGAAGCATCAAGCTGGAGGCACAATTCAAGAACTAAATCTGTGTTGTTAGAAACTGAAACCAAAGACCTGATATTCACATATCTATTGCCATCCTCCACAATGACTTCACTTGCAACAACAGCATTGCCTAATGGCCAGCAGGCAGCATGTGCAACATAATTTAGCCTCACTGTGGTCCAGGGGCCTTCTCTGGTAGGGCTAATCTGTATATAACCCGAATTTCGGTCCCCAGTGAAGCCCTTCCCCGTTTTTGCTACTCTTGATCGTGGTGAAACAAGCACAGCACATTTTATTCTTCCACAAGTGGTTTTGGATGTATCTACTTGAGTTGTCTTCTGCAATATCGAGAACCAACAAACAGACTTAATTGGAGTCATTCAACCTAAATATGGATAGAGGTACTTGAGACTTTACTACAAGAATCTCACAGTGGAGTCGGCCGGTGACAACTCAAGCCACTCAAATCCATTCCCTGCTGAATCATCCTGGATTCCTTGTAGCTCCTTCAAAGAAGAAGAAAAGTATCCGACAGGAACACCTATAATAAAAATAAAGTCACGCGTAGAGCCGTTAATCAGAAGTTCAGGAAATATGCGTCCTTGCATGTAATTGAACATCGATGACTAACCTCCTGCCTGAAACACTTATCAAGCAAAATTTGAGGCATAGCACTGCAAGTGAATATTGACAGAATTCCGGGACTTCATTTTTTCAACAAAATAATCTGTTTAAAGGATATTCCAAAAGCCAAATGGCTTTATACCCCTATTCTTACAGAGTTACATTTCATTCTTATGCTCTACCACGCAGTCATCCTAACCCTTTCTTAAGATCTTAGGTGATACATTCCACCTAACGATATTACAATTACGGAAATAAACTCACAGAGAACAATACTATGATATAATGACTACGAGACAAAGCAAAATTTGCAATGATCAACTTAGGGGCCATTTACCAAATCCTTATCAGGTAAGAGCTTACTGGCAAGAGCCACCACCCTTACTTACCTTCTGGGGTAACATTCTCAGCCATTAAAATGGATTTGGTTATAAGCCTCTCTTACCCGGTAAGCCGGAAGAGTCTTCTCTCTCAACTACTGGGTAAGATTCTCGGTCCTTGCTATGCCTCTTACCAGGTAATATTCTCGGTCCTTGCCATTTACCCCTCACCTGTGGGATTACTATATCTGATCCTAAGCGACATCTAATTCATAGCCAAATGTTATTGAGTTGGAAACCCAGATGTTCAATACTAGAAAGTACAGTATCTACTTGCTCTAGGTCTGTATTGCTGTAGCAATACAATGGTTGACAGCTCCAAAATTTGAACTTTAAAGTCTGACTCCACTTGTCAGAGGCACACAGGATCACACCCTTCCAGAAGTAAAGCATTAAGAAAGCTACAAACCCATTAAAAACATATATCTTATATCGACCATGATACACCAAGGCTCCTTGACTTCGCAAGGATTGGGGACGTAAGTATTTATAAACAGTTATTCCCTTTCACCATGCAAAGAGGTTGCTTTCCTGACTTGAACCTGTGACCTTCAGGTCACAAAGGGGTAATCCTAACAAGAACATCCCCTTACCAGCTTAGTGAACACTCGCTACTAAGAAACTAATATCTAATGGGGAGGACAATAACCCATTATAGGAACTTCTATATTATTATTATTACAGTCATGCATCAACATAAGTATAAATGGTAGCGGGGTCCTAAAGTATATTATTCTATTAAGTACTAAACGTAATTAGCTGAAAGATGAAGAACATTACTATTAGACAAACAGAAAATGAACGGTATAGGCAACATCTCCATGTGTAATTTGAATGGATCGACTATTACATGCTTATTTTTAGCCTGGCATGGCTAAAGCCTGGCGGAAATCAAAGATTAGAGATTTATAAGAACAACTCCGCACAAATCTGTTAGTGCACTGTGAACTAGACTTGTACAGTAGAATTACAGTGGATATTGTCTATGCTGCTCAAAGCATAGTTGATGATTTAGCATTCATGCATCAACGCTCAAGAAGAATACGTAAAATTTTAACAAAATAAGCATGAGTCTCAGTTAAATATATCTACCTTTCCCCATGTCAGTTGCTACCAACTGCAGCTTATATCCGTCCTGCCCAAAAAAGTAAATAGTGACTAAAAGAGATGTTTAAGCTTATTTGATTGCATGTGTAAAATCTTGATCAACTGTCAACATAGGAATTAAAATGGCACCGAGCCCAAGAAAGAGAAGCATAAATGGCAGGATTAGTGCAACTCTTGAACAATCAGAAGCTTAACCAAAAATGAAAAGGCAACATACAACTTCTATGGAAGTACCAACCCAAAGGACTAATACAGGGAAGACGGATATTGTAATAGCAGTTGATTAAATTCAGAAACCATCATCTAGGGATCTGGATTGTGTTTAGTACCCAGAGTCTAGAAACTGCTTGAGTGGATCATCCAGTGTTTAATGAAAAGATAAGTTGGTGAAGGATAAGTCATTATTTGAAATAAAATGTAAATGGGCTTCTTATAAGCCCATCTCTGCACCTATTTCTTTATCTAAAGACAACGTGCACGCTATATTCAGACCCAGGACTAACCACTGGAACTATTTGGAGTTGTTAAAAGTACTCCAAATCCTTCAAAACGAAGTCCAGAGACAGAGAATTTGTTGTCAGATAACACAAACGGCACTTATATTTCCGTACAACCAATTGTGAGGGCCAGGATAAATCACACCCGAGAAGTGATGTTTTTGGTGCATGCAACTGTTGCACACCTAGTGTCAGTAGACAAATTTGGATTCAGACTTCTAGGTTATCCTGAGCAGATTCAAGCCTGTTGAGCAAGAGCAACTGGGCATTTGCATACAACTGATCACATGCTGATCTATTTCTATAGTTGTACAGCCTGCTGACATATGATCAGTATAAACAGTTAACAACCATATGTTTGCCAACGGCTTAGAAAAAATACAACTATACATAACAGAAGAAACATTATGCAAACAGGTACTTTGCTATATAAAACATTACAAACAAAAGAAGCATTAAGCAGGCTTTAACTTGTTATCTTCTAGTTGGTTCAATCTTGATCCTTCTATGCACTCATAGACGAGTTAATAATATGAATCAATTTGTGGCAATAGACTCTATAGTCAAGATGTCTAAAGAAGAAGAATTTGAACTGGCAGTATCAACCTCATAAGTGAAGTTTGCCAACAGGATCCATGAAACAGCCTGGTTGCAAAGCCCTCTTTATTTCAGGTCCTAATGGGTCAGAACAGGAACCAAATATCTTCTTTGCAGGTTTAGATGGGTAGTAGATTGAGCGGATTACTCACCTTTTTCCTATTGGTTTAATATTTCTACATTCCGACCATTGAAGCATATACTTCTGTTCTGCCAACAAAGGGGGAACAGGTGGGCTGGTCCTACCCACATGGACTCGAACCTGTTAGTCACAAGGAAAACATGGTGACCAAATTTGACTAGCCCACACCAACCTACAGCTACCTGAGTCCGCCCATTGGTCACCTCTAAATAAGTTGAAAGAATAAAACAAAATGAGTAGAAATGGAAGGAAGACAGAATGGAAAGGGAAAGAAAATAGAAATGAACAATAAAAAAAGTTCATCCCAGCATCACTGTATGCATCTTGGTGAAAGACAAATATAAGAAAAGGTACGTACTAGACAGTCAACTACTAACCAGTGAATCTGCTTTAAAGAAGAAAATTTCATTCCACGTAACCAATTCAAGATCAGAAACTTCGTCACTATTGGAGCTGGCACCACACGTGCGTGCACTTTGTCGACCAAGAAGCACGCCATTGGAGAAGCTTTGGTCAGGAGTTAGACAGACTGCAATGCCATATTGATGAGACCCCAGTCCTTCTAATCTAGGAAACTGCATGAAAGAGCATGCAAGATCATCATGGAAGCATAACTTGTGGACACTTAGATTTGAGTGAAGTAATAATCCAAAACGTTCACTTACAGCTCAGTTGAACTGTATTGATTATATCCCAATAATTACTGTATTTAAGACATGCTCCTACCACCTAAATTATCATGAACAGTTTAATATATCCATTCATTTTGGTGAGAGTAGAAACTAATCTTTTGCCTTCATAAGTATGCCACATGGACCTTGATTTGAACCTACAATTTGAGACGTTTTGCATATTCTAACAAAAGATAAAAAAAAATCATTGATATTCCTGGTATAGTAGATGCTATGAAACAAAAAAAAAAAAAAATGGAATTGGTCAACATATTTCTCGAAACAAACAAAAAGATTAGTCCTTATATACACTCATGTGGATCTCAATGACATTGCTTGAATATAATTTGTGAGTAACATGTTGACAAGCGGAATGTTTTGTGGCTTGTTGGGAACACAAGACGGAATAAGCTGAAAATCGTTAGCAAGAACTTCTTAATTCATTGCAGAAAAAAGCTTTTGGCCATGGTTCTATGTTGCATAGATTTGTTGAATCTTAAACAAAACGACAATGTGGTGCATCAAAATATAATTGTTACACGCATTTGTGTGCAAATGTTTGCTTATTGGGGATGCATTCAGATTTTTCTATTTTATGGCCCATGGCACACATAAATACTCTATTTACTCACAGCTTTTTATTTGTACAGAGAAAAGGAAGGAGAACACTTTGTAAACTAATCCTGACAGCTCATATGAATCAGGTTAGCAAATAGCTCTGATACCATATAGACAAAACATTGAGATTGGAAATGGAACGCACCTGTGCCTGTGAGATGACGACTGTCACCATTGATCGGAGTTTCTTGTAGAGATTTCCTTTCAAGTGGGAATCCAACATGTTCTTCGAAACTGGTACTTTCAAGGGCTTCTTTTCTCCAGATGGCATCTTGATTACATGTGGAAGTCCCTTGATTTCAGTAGCTCTAACATAGATGTCCTTCCCAAGTTTATTTTGCGGGATTACGTAATAATTTTTCCTGTGATGAACATCAATGATAGGTGTTCCGGCATACGAAGGAGATATTGCCTCCTGTTATAGGGACCATATGAAAGAAACGATCACTCGTTACTTATAAGCAGCCAAACAAATTCATAAGTACCAGAGGAAGCAGAAAAGTACCCTTGCAGTAGACGGTTCATGAACTTGGCTAAGATTATTCCAGCTCGCATAAGCTTGAATAAGCATATTAGCATTAGACACCGTAATATTGATGTTAAGATCTCTTGTAGTGGTCAGCCGTATCTGAGATGCAGCACTTGGAACATTGAGATCATACTGATACCTGTACATCACAACCGAAGAAGACATTAACCAAACAGATAGGGATGGAGGAAGAGTTTAGTGACACAAATGCAAATTCAAGGTTGGACAAATAGGTGAAGAAAAACGGTTCATAAATATTTTAGGGAGTAAGAGAAGGACCCTCAAGCTCCTGAAAAAAGCATAGTGAACTGAATCAAAAGGACCTTAAACTATAGGTCAATAATTAACTGTTCATCAACAGAGTTGATTAATTGTAAATGATATCCTTGGAACTACTAAAACAATAAAGAATACGAAATAATCTTGCTTCTCAAAAAGTGTTTTTTAACCATAAACATCAAATTTGCCAATTTCGCATTATAACCATTCAGAAAATCAGCCAATTATTTCTAAAACCTATTTGCTCTCTAGTTTTGTTTATAGATGCAGGTTTGAATCGCAATGCAACACTCCCCCTTAATTCATAAAGAGACTGTCCTTCATCACTACTTTTAGAGACAGGTATAAGTTAAACACATGCAACTCCTACATTTGAAAATTAGCACAATCTAAGAGAAGGAGATAACCTTAAGACACCATCAACTGGTTCAACAAGAGGCTCCCAATCTTCAAGTTTATCATTATATGACCTGGCTGCTAATGAGAAGCTAATAGTGGAGTTCAAATAATCAGGCCTTCTATGCAGACTAAATCCGATGTTGCTCAACGATACATTGAACAACGGCGTCATCTGCAATTCAAAACATATGGAATACCACTTAGACAAATGCTAGTTAGTGCAGAATTATATGAGCTAAAGTTTACATCTGATGGTACAAAGCATAATAAGAGGAAACTATTTAAAAATGTATAAAAGAAGTATCCGTTGGTGCATGGGGTAACCCTATTTCCATTTAAAGCCTTACAAATGGACCACTACTGAAGTATATATGACAAGCAGTTTAAGGTTGTCAAGAATGAAGTTTCAGCAATGAAAAATATATACATACCATGCCGCCATAGTCATCAAAAAGTGCAGCAGAGAACGTTCTAATTTCTGCATCAACAACTGTGTCATCTGAACCACTTGGTGTGTCAGCATCTACAAGCTTTACAGCAAACCTTCTGGGAGGTTTCTTAAAACCACTGCGAACCATGAAGGTTCCAAGCTCATTACCAACTCCCCATATACTAAAGGATTCTTTGGTGAACCGTATATCAGAAGTATCCCATATACTCTCCTCCAAAAATTCATCCCCAGTGACCATATCGCTGCGCATGCATCTCAAAGAGCCAAAATCAGATTGCTTTGGTGTACCCTTAAATGCTACGCAGCCCAAGGAAACATAGCCAGGGGGGGCCTGAGGCACCCAAAAAGCTATACTTTCAGCTCCTCTATGTTTCTTTATTTGCCCAACAATTTGAAAACCAATAGGAGCTTTAAAAGGCTCATCATCTTCAGAAAGAACTATGCATGTGTTCGGAGGCTCATAGCTGTAACAATTGAAGTGCAGTATCTAAGTTGCGAACAGCAGGAATGAAAAGCATACATCAATTTAAAGTAGAAAGGAAATAGGGCACAACTCGACCATTTATGCAGGGTATTATCAAGTAGAGATAAAACTTCACTATTCTGCATGAATAATCGATTCGGCTATCTCAAACATGGCAGCAAAATGCGTTACCACCCAAAATAGACTTCACAAAGTGGATAAAGTAATTAAGATGCTAATATTAATAAAAAATCGTCAAAGACATGACATACCCTCTAACAGCAATATCACCAAAGTATACCATCCCTTGAGAAATAATAGGACGCCATATGGATAGTTTCTTTCTAGATTTTGAACCTTGATTCCACCATATCAAACGAAAACTAGCAACAGCCTGGAAACGCCTACCAGAAGTTGCAGTTGATGACCGCTCTGATTGAACATTATCACGATCAAAAGAAAGCGCTTGAATCTCAGAATCCTTCAATGATTTTGAAGATCCTCCACGGAAGCCAAAAAGTATATGGCGCAATTCATAGGCTCTACCAACCACACTTAAAGTCCCAGGATCTGCTGGAAGGAAGGTACCAAGAGAACTATCCACACGCCAAAATGCCAATCCAGAAGAACTGCAAATTAAAGAAAAAGTTAATAGAACACTCAAAAAGCTAGGTACGCATGTATCACGCAAGTATTAGATGGTCGACAAAGTGCTCGAGTGTGGGGTTCAGTGCAATTCAAATGGGTTATTTACAACAGCTTCATGCCAAGTATTGTAGAAAACAATTTTCTCAAAGGCGTACTTTAAGGTTTCACCTGCCACTACATATCATGGCCATACTCCGCCTTTTACAATGATTCACATGAGTCATGAAACAACATAATCAGTATGTCTATACTACAATTTTTAGAACAAGATGTCAGGCAAGAGCATCAAGTTGAGAGTTTTCACATACATATGACCAGAGCTGATTGTGATACAATCCCTTATTGCACATGGAGATAGCAAAGAAGCATGTAAGCAGAAGACAGAAGAGACAGAAGGCTGTGTTCTTCCAGGAGAAACCACACAGCCCAGAGCAGCATATCCTTTTGGTGCCACAGGAAACCAAATGGAACAGCTTTCTGCCCCATCTTCAAGGGCCTTGCTTGGTACAAACTGAAGGAGGTCAACACCTTGAGAATCAGAAAGGGGCCATACTAGCTTGAAGGCCTCAGGCTTCTTGATCTTTACATAGCGAGTATTCACAGCAAGAACTCCCTTTGTCGGTGGCTTGTCACTGTGACAAAGAGAGAGATGATGATAACACAAAAGGACAATAACTGTAAACTACAAAACCCAAGATCTGTAAGAATTCACCAACATTGCTGTCAGGTAGTCACCGAGAATAGCAAAGCCAGGTGGTGCATGAGGTCGCCAAAATGCATAAGTTTGGTTGTTGTAGGCATCTGTAATTCAGTATCGTCAGCATTTTGCATGAATGACAGAATGAGATATACTTTAACATGGAAGCAAATCATAATTTATGCCCATTAGGAGAAGCAAGAAACATCATTCTTCACGAAGAAAGCACATCTGTGAGCAACACCGGTAATGATGAAAGCATTTAATTTTCTTGTGGAACACATGTAATCTAAACTCATTGTTGAACACATCTGACGTTAAAATCAACAAAAAAGTACAAAAGAACTTTTTTATCTCAAGCATTGACCTACTTTCAAATGTGCCAAGCTTGTCAAACTCGGAGCAGACAACCGTCATTTTCCTGGATGTCATTCTCAGAAACTTCAATATATCCTCTTCGACTGCTAAAAATAGTCGTAACGAGCTGAATGAAAAATTCATAAATATATCTGAAACTGCAACATGAATATTTGTCTTCCCAGAAGCATTTGAGAACTTGACAGAAGTATCAAAAGGCTCCAGAATTCTGATCCCATTGCTCTCCATAGTTAAACCAAGAGCATTCGCACTCATTTCTACTGTATCTCCCTTCAGTACGAGCCTTAGACAGCAGATACACATGAAAGGTTACTTCACATTGATCCATCAATTTAAAACATCTTAAAGCTAAATCGAAACCTTCAAGCTCCAGCTCATAAACATGAAACACACCAGATAGTTTCATATAAGAATAATTTCTACCTCTCTCAGAATATGCAATGATACCTCACCCAACCAAAATAAATAATCTACTTCCCTTTTACGATTCCTCTTGAAAATAACTGGCATCTTTAGTATAAAATATATTAAATATGCTTGTGAGAGATCCAGGTTTCAAACCCTTGCTTCATCCCTCCATCACGTACACAATCACACACATAAAATCAAATGAAAAATAGTGTATTTTATTCAAATTCCAATGAAAAATAAAGATTGGTCAAATAAAAAATATAGAGAACTTTTATAGAAGGTAATGCTTAACCGTGATATCATATAGAAGACAGGCATTCATTTGGGGGTGGATGAAATAAATAACAAAAAAGATAAAAGGGTTCTCCCAAATTTACTTTTTTGAGTTTGAGTACCTACATGCATGATGAAGAAAAGACATAAGCATTTTGACAACATCCGAATCACCCAGTAATAACTGTCCTAGATAATATGCAATACTAGCTTCAAGCGGGAAAAAAAAAGAAATACAGAATTAAGGAGCCCATGAAATTTAATGAGATTCACAAATGTGAGAAAGAACCTGCAGAAGGCATCCAATCTTGCATGCAAAAACTTGTTAGAGAAGAGTGGGGACTCTCCAACATATTTTGATGAATTATAGAAAGTAAGCTCGGGACTTATAACCTGCAAAGTAGTACAATATATAAGAAAAGATCAACTATCAAACAGAACAGAAAAACAAATGGGAAACGAATTGACTTGTCACAGAAGCATCCCTGCTGTAAGTAGCATCATGAACAAGGTCATCATGAGTAGAACAAAATTGCTTTGGTACTACACTTGGTTAGTCCTACTACGAAGGGCCTATCTCGAAACTGCATTGGCTGAAGGCACAAAAATGCTTTAGACTACTTTGCTTAGAACTTTGGTGTTCTAGAAAATTGGTTCAAGGAGATAAAAGTATTTATTACCGATATACCTACTTTAAGCAACTGCGATAGCTTTGGCCTTTGTTAATTAAGTTTAGCAAAAAAAAAATGGTAAGAGAATAAAGCTAAACATATTTATCTAAGCATGTGCATCAGAATTTCCTTCTTCCGGACCAACACCATGTGCCTCACGCCAGATCAAGTGGGCCTCATGCCATAAAAACACCATTGAAATCCCGTAACAATGAATTTCCGAGTATAATCTAAAGTAAGTAATTTTAAAATGAATTCACAAAGCTTATGCATATGCTTCAGATTATACATACACCATCCTGTGTACACTCCAGAGCAAAATGCATCGGTGGACTGCAAAATAGATTATTTTGCAGGAATTACTCATGTTATGTTGATTCATTGTGATACCTACAGAATCTGTGATGATGTTCATACCGCTTGACATTTTACCGCTTGCTTAAGTGCATGCTTTCCAATGTTTTGAAAGGGAAAATGCCTCTTCAAGTTCTCTTACAAACTACACCCTTTTATTTAGAAATTTGGTTGTTTACACATATACATAACTTTAGGCTAGTTACTATAGAACTTGAATTAATCACTTCTCTGAAAAAGGTAGGCTGCTACGACCCATCTCTGTGGAAGTACTTTGTCTCACTTGTTACATTATCCATCATAGCCCTACCGAGCCTAGTGTTCCTTTTCCAGACCAAACAGTTTAAGATAGTCCGGAAAGCCGGTCTCTTCAAGTTTATCAGCAGAAAGAAGCACACCTATATACCCTTCAATAACAGTGTCTGCTCCAGAAAATGAGAACCTTAATCCTTCCTCTAAGTTGTCACATCTACAATTCCCCAAAGAAAAGAAAATTGCATATGTGCCAGAAAGCCTAACGCTTAAGTGAGCTATTGGATATTCAAAAGTGTTTCTTGTACTCATCTCTCTTTGAGTAACTATACCTTTGTCCCTGTCATGGATATCATATTCCATATAGTGTCAATCAGGCCGTCATATATCCAGGATGGAGGATGTCCAGAACAATGGACATAGAATCCTGTCAATGTTCCAGTAAGAAAAAGACATTGTTGGGGCCAAAAGGGTGCTTTTCGCGAAGTTGAATGCAAAAAGTTCTCCCAAACAGTTAAAGGTTCGATTGGTAGCTAAAGACTACTTTCAGAAGTACAATAAGAACCATGGGTAGACCTTGAACCTATGTACATCTTCTCGTAGCTCAGGCAATCATTCATCATTGGTACCTGTTGGGAATCAAGAATGCATTGCGATTTATAGATGTATTTTAACGATCCACCACTTTGGCTTTCCCGCTTCTCTTTGGCATTTGAGATTGTTGGGATGACGTTGAGTGCCAATGATTACCCCGTATTATACCGCGAGAGAAGTAACAAGAGTCATAGTGGCGTATGTGGATGACATTGTCATTATGAAAAACATAATGCAAATATTATTGGAGTTTGTTGTTCTTACTTCCTTAGGCATTCGACACAGTTTGGCATGATGTGGATCTGTCTTCTTCCCAATGTTATTTAAAGTTCAGCCATGCATCATCACGCACACAGACACACCCGGTTGGAATGAAATGGATTTGTCTTCTTCCCAATGTTATTTAAAGTTCAGGAATGCCTCATCGCACACACACACACACACCCTGGTCTATGTCACAAATATCTTGAAAAGACTGTCAATGGGATGACGTGTAAATTGAAATTGTATTCCTTCCAGAAAGGGACATTGCATTTTTTGGGACAACTCAAAATAAAAAATGCCGCACATTTTGGGACAGGGGAGTGCTATTAGAGTATTAGTATCACGATTCACAAATTACATGACAAAGTTCATAGCTTTCATCAGCTCAGCTGCCACCAGTTTCATCGCTCAGGACCACAGCAGAAAGACCAAACACCATTAATTCACATTAAAGACTTAACATGCTAGCAAACAAGGAGAACAGATATCTCTGGCAACAGAGATGAGAGCACCTAAGAGAAGAAAATCAGAGACGAGGGACTAGAGCAGAGCCGAGAGATTAGCATGTCTTACAAATTAAGGGTTGCCCTAAGCGGAGAGGAGATGAGATAAAACTAAAGCAGAAAGAAGAGCTGGAAAGAACAAGTGAAACAGATCACAGGTTCTTCACTTCTTTGGTACTCGCAGCTTTTTTTGAGTTTTTCCCTAAGCATTTATCCATGAAAGCCTTCTTTTTCTTGCCTCTGAAAAAAGGTTTCATTTTCTTTTGAAAAACATGAAAATTTTAAAAAGACCAAGAGAATAGTTTAAGGCAGGCCTAACAAAGAATTTACTAGACTTTTTCGAGATGGAAATGTACTATGACGATGAAGCTGCCATGCATATTTCTAAGAATTAAATCTTCCACCCCTGCATGATGCCGGCTGAAGTTGATTACAGTCATGTCCATGAGAAGGGGTTGGAACATCTCATGAACCTCATCATTTGCCAATCTTGAATTGTTAGGAAGATAATGATGACGATAACATGAGAAATTCACTGAAGAGTCACATATCATCCCTATAATTGTCAAATAGGCACGTTTGACATAGATACTAAAACTCGAGGAGTGTTGATATAGCATGGATGATGTTTTCATCCATGTGTCTCATTTTTATCAATAGAAGAGAATATGAGCTATTCCAGAAGTTACCGTTCTGTAATCCATCTTCTAGCTTCCAAAATAGTTTGTAAGCACAAGTTTAGTGATGAAAAAGTTATTAAAATATCAAGCTAACAACATGCCAAAAAATGCATGTTCAGAATAATACGTTCACCTGCAACTCGATGGATGTTTCTGTTGGCCTGCTTGTTGAATTGCTTTGAAAAGAAGAAATTTTGGTAGTTTCATCTTGAGTATTTGGTGAGGCACTTTCCTCTTCCAAGAAAACTTGATCATCTTTCAAAATCGAGTAACTGCTGTTAGACCCTAGTGAAACACACAAATCTAAATATTGTCCATTCTGCATCAACAATATAGAGTCATTAGATCAAAAAAACAAAAGAAGGAAGAACATCAAACCAGCATCCAATGCAAGATCACACCTTGATAGTGACATTCTTGAATTGCAATCTTTTCCCACTGCCAATATAAATTATAGTTTCCACACTTGTCGATACGATCATTTGCCCCTCTCTGTCTTGTAACAACAGAGTTCCACCTCTACCATCATAAGTATAATGGTCAAAAGCTTCGTCATCAACCACCAAAGGTTTCTGAGGAGAGAGTATGAGCACCTCATTGCTTTGATTAAAAGTTGGTTTATCCAGAACAAGCGCATCAACAACATATGATGATTTTTCGTCCTCATCGTTTGACAGCATGCCACGTACCGTAGGTACAAAAAACTCGGCAACCGCCATCAGGAAGTCGAGTGCAACAAGCAATTGTGGCCTTTGGATACATAAAGATAAAGATGTTGAATACTGACTAAAGTTAGCATCAAGAATTAGCATTGTGGGAACCCCTAATATCTCATCATCTTTCACAACATTTTCTGTGACCATTTGGCTGTCCTCATTGAGAGCCTCTAAATCAGGACTGTATCGCAGACTCTTGGGCTGCCGTACAGCAAGCCTAAGCTCTTCTTCTGTCCCCTCACGATCATCATGCACAGTGAAACCCTTCAGGGTCATCGAGAGAAGACCTCCTCCCAGCGTATTAGCTTTGTAGAGTACCCATAGACCACTGACCTGAAACAAAGAACACTATGAATACTTCATGTTTGTATGCTTATTTTAGTCTCTGTATATTTCTATATGCATTACAGTGTATATTCGAATATGAATAAACACTGTCAAATAACTTTATGCATTATATTTATGCATGTGTTTTTATTCATATATGAATATACAATGTAATTCTAATTCTTGTCTGTGTGTATATTCATATATGAATAACACTCAAAACTAGATTTGGGGTACAACCATGGAGAAAACTTGTGTTGGAAAGAGACTATTTATCATTCCAGTTCCCAAAAGGGACTTCTGTTACTTCACAATATGATAATGTTAAGACACAACCCACTAGATAATCTCACTTAATTTACTCCCAACTCCAAATATAATAATAATACCCTGAAGAAATATCAATGATCAGAGTCTTGGTTAAGACAAACAACCCACTGGATAAAGAAACCTGAGACCAAGGCCCAGAGCATTATAAAGGCAATCAGCAACGAAATTCACCAGCGATGATGGTTCATGAATACACGTTCAAAAAATTCCCCAAACAGTCTCTCCCCCCACACCCCTCACCGGCAAGGATAGTTCACACACCTAGTGATTTGAACCGAATAATGGAGGCCAAGTGGAACGTAACTTATCTGACAATGCATCAAACACTACTAGGAAACCATAGAATAATCCGTTGGTGAACGTCTTAAAACATGTTGCCAATTTTAGTTAGCAACGGATTTAGCAAAGAGCCTGTTGAGGAAAGGGATGCTGGTAATTTTTTTTTAGCAATGGACGGGTCCAATTGTCGCCGAGTCGCCGTTTCGTATCGATCTACTTGGCGGTGATCAGGTACTGATATCCAATAAATATATTCTCGCCGCACTTGATGCCTGATTTCTGTAACTGGGCAAAAAGGGTCTCACCTGGTTTGAAGGCGTGAACACAAGAGAGCTTGTGGATGTTGGAGTGATAGGTCTCATAGTTTTATTTGAAGGGCGTATTTATCTGAGAATGAACTATATATGTTTTCTTCTTTGATGTGGAATGAGATTTGACGTGGTGTTATCAGTGGTGGGGAGAGGAAAGAGTAAGCAAAACGTCGGGTTGGGGTGAAGACTCTTTGGAGAAGTTGGGGTGGGCATGAATGGAAAATGGATGATGAGGAGCTCCTAAACAGCATAATCTGATTTCCGACTTTACACATATAGGAGGTTGGGGAAGGAAAAGCGAAGCAGAAGAGACCAAAGCTTTTAAAGGAACATCCGTTGTGGGATTATGTAAAGAATAAATCCAGGTGGTATGTTAAGCGAGTTACAAACAGAAGCTTTAGAGAAAGAAAGATTGGGTAGAATGGCCAAAGACTAGTTCTCAGATCCTCAATTGAACCTCCCCTATATATAGAGGGGGGGGTTGGGATCACGTGAGAACAAATTTTTTGGTGAGAACACGTACCTTCATCACATTCATCCACTTACATTCACAAACCTTCATTACCTTCTTGTATCACAATGACTGAAATATTAACAAATTTATGCATGTGGAGGGTGATTTAAGGTATGTGAAAGTTCGTGAAGGTGACTGAAGGTGAAGATGAAGGTTTGCGTGTCTTGTGAGCCGTCATATCAAAAAAACAACTCATCCAGAGACTCCGAAGTGTTCTCATATGATCCCTATATATATTACTCTACTCCTAACATCACATTTCCTAGTCTTTAAGCTACAGCTTACAGTTGGGTCCCTTTTGGACTTATCCAATTCTATAGCTTTTTCATAGATCTGGACAGATGTGTTCCCTCTGTTTGGTACAAATTGAAACAACACTATGGCTATCGCCATCATCTAGAGAAGTCTGAGCAAAATTATAGTCTACATATAAAACCATTGACAAGTAAATGAAGATACAATGCAGTTAATTATTTCTTCCAAATACCAGTGAGAATAGATAAAGAAAATCTTGAGTACGACACAATTAGTAAGCTCGTAATATGCAACAAACAGAGAAAGAGGGATTTGAACAAAATACGAGTTGCCAAGGAGTACCTGCAGTGTTGCAAGTGATGCATCCCTGGCCATGCCATAATGAAGGGACATTTCAACTAGACCAACAACAACAGACACCTTCATAGAAATCCAAGCTGGTTCATTTTGAGCTTCATTTCCATGACCTTCTGAATCTTGACGAACTAAAGGATCCATATGATCAGCAGAAGTCGACACAGCGGTGTTTTGTAGAGAGGGAATTGCATTTGGAGTCTCTGAGAAGTTAGACAATGCACATTCTGAAATAATATGATACTCTTTATTGGAGAGAGCGGCTTTCAGTTCATCTACCTGAATTAGTGGTAAAACACGCATCATATTATTATTTAAAAACATCATCTTCAAATAACCACAACAGGAAGGTTTAAATTTTTTGGCAGACTGGAGATAATAACATTTGCGCAGACATCTCACTTCATCATGTCACATACTGAGATGTATCGTCATACCTTGATTGCAACTTCTGTATTTGGAACTTGATGTAACAAATCACGAAGTGACCTCCTAAGAACAATGCAAACGCCCTTCACATCATGAATAATACTTTCACCCAATTCTGTTCCCATGCCAACATTTAAGTTTATGTCTTCAACCTACCCAGAAAGAAAGATAATTCTTATTAGAGAAACATTGTAATCTAACAGTATAAAAATTAACAGGCAGACTTTTGCAGATGGAGAACAAGCCAATACAGGAGAGGCACTTCAACGTTCAGAACTGAGACAAATATCTAAAAGTACAAAAATTAACAGATGGAGTTTTGCAGTACTTCACCCGAAGTCAAATCATCAAAAAAATGGGTCTCACCTTCACTGTCATTATATCCAAATGAACAGCAGTCATCTCTTTTTTTGTACCCCCAAACCATTGAAACGTGTTCTGGACAGTTATGTGAACAATATCTAGCTTCAGATAACTGCAACAGCAAAACAAATATGTGATATTATCCAAAAGACCAGTGAACCCATTATATATAGACAACTAACAAAATGCTCAGGCACAAAACATGGTTGATTAGTCACAAAATTCTAAATCTTACTCAAGGCTGTCTGTTCTACGAGGCATTAGAATTATAGGTTTCCTCAATGAAAGGTCCAACTTCACAGCAGGTGAGCCTTCAATTTCGCTAGTCTTAACCCACTTCTCTGAATCTGTGACTTGATCTTTCACTTTGACAACGTCCACCGAGTTGTTAGGAACAAGGCCCATGAAGTAACTAATAACCTACAGGCCAACACAACACCAACCTAAGCAATGGCAAAAGGAGAGCAGATACAACAAGAAGAGGATACTTACCTCCTGAATGAATCGATTCAGGTACACCAGTCTTACTTCTGAAAGCTGTCCAATAAGGCTATAATCAAACCCAGCATAGTCCTCATCATCAGCACTGAAAGAACTGAAAACCAACTGCAGGTTTTGACAAATATGAAATTGTGATCAATTTTTAAATGCTGTATACGTATGTAGTTATCAGAAAGCCACAAGAAAACGCAACTAGAACAGAGTGTCCGAACCGCCTCTTCAATATCTCCTAAACATTGCAGAGTGCACGGTATTGTCACATGCATGTACTACAAACATGAACAAAAGCTATTCATTCTATTGTGGGAGAAATAATAACTAGTCGAGATTAAAATAAGAAAAGAGCGCAAGCTCCAATAAAGAGGAGCCAAGTTATGTGCACCCACGACCAAACTGACACTGTACTGGTACCCCTCCTAAGCAAACAAGACACGTTCAGTGACCTGCACTGAATAGGAAAGTGAAAAACGAATAAGAATGGAATGGAGACAAAAAAAGCCTCTCTTTCACAAATGAATAGACATCCTTCTAATCATTGCTGTCACTCTAGCTCATCTTATCAAGCAAAACTAACAGACACCCATTGTTAAGCACAGGAGGTGGTTTATGACCGTTATGCAAGGCTCCCATATAACACCCATGATAAAACAAATTGGCATTGAAATTGGTCGGATACGTTGTTCTACAAATTCCAATAATGTAGGTGCATGTCAATAAAAGTCGAATCATTCTACCGGTCCTTTTCAGTGAAGGGTGAAGAAAGGCCAGAAAAAGATAGAGCACAAAGGAACAATGGAAAGGCAGAAAAATTCAATACTGCCATTGAAAGTGGCAAGGAAACAAAACCATTCAGAGGTGCTTTCCAGTAAAGAAGAAAGAAAATGTCGGAGAAAATAGAGGAGCACACAAAGGAACAAGGGAAGTCAGAAAAATTCTATACTGCTATTGAAAGTGAATAGGGAAGTAGTGAGCTATTTGAGTAGCCAAAATATACTGAAGAAGTTGGCCTCAGATAGGAGGGTGTGCAAAGATGCTATTATTCATGTCTTGTAACCCTAGGAGTTATTATAATTTATTAGTTTATATTTTTAGCATGTCCCAACTAGTTTCAAGATATAAGGCTTGTTGATGTACCAGAAGAGAAAAGGGGTCTTGGCATGAGCAAAACCCAGTTTTACAGTCCCTAAATAACATATTTTTTAATATTAAGTAGTTGGACGAGAACCTACATAACACCAGATTGTGAGCAGTTAAAGGATGAAGAAGAAGAAGAAGAAGAAGAAGAAGAAGAAGAAGAAAACCATATGGGACTGGGGGGAAAACCATGTATGCCTACATTGTTCCATCGACCAGAGGCTGTTCGAGGAGATTACAATCAATGGAGAGACAGATTCCGACGGATTTCCGACGGAATTTTATTTTTTTTTTAAATGCGACAATGATGGTAGAAAAGAAGAGAAGAACCAAGATGTCAAAAGCTTAAATGGGAAGATGGAAAGAGATCAATGGATAATGAACACGAACATCAAATGTTGCCTTTAGATACATAAGAGAAACATTAGTTCAAGATGTTCCACCTACATATAAACCCTAGCACATGCTAATTCGTAAATAGCCAAGTGCCTCAACTTGTGCTACCACATATTACTGAAGGCCAAACATTACAGGTACCAAAAAAAACAGCTTGGCTAGAGCTTAACCTTTTAAGGGAACAGGTAAATCAGAAATTACATAAAGTTTCTGTCTACAGAAAGCTTAAGCCTAGATCAAATATGATGATGCAGACCTGAAAAATAAAGCCAACCCCGATGACAAGAGAACCCTATTGCTGCTAAGCAAAAAGAAACATATCTTGTAGTTTGTCATCTCACTCCTCATGTTGCGGGGCCACTTATCATCGCCCAAGAATTTTTGTAAGGCACAAAAATGGTGACTAAAGAGGTACCTATTACGTGGAAAGCGTTCCCCGGTAATATTGCAGAAGATTTCATAAAATGATGTATGAAAATTAGGTATCATACCCTTGCTACTTTCCTCCATTCTTCCATTCCCAGATCAAATCCATCCCTTCAGTTATTAGTTGTTACTGTTTACTACAATTTTAGTTTATCCATTAACCAAAAACACAGCAACAGATACACAACTAGCATTGGTTTGCCAATAAATAAGAGCAAGAATTTCATAAAAAGACAAACACCTCTGCATGCACTCAAGTAGACAGGCGAAAATTTAAGGAGTTTTGAGGTGTAACTGGGCCTTCCGGTCCCAGTTCTCATAACCTGTCCCAGTCCTCCCTAACCGGTCCTCGTACCGAGCCTGTCCCCTTATTTTGAAAATTCAATTTTTTGAGAACTTTTTTACAGAAAAGAGTATTGATGGTCCCTAAACCATGCTTTTTTCATCCTATAAAACCAATTGGCGGTGGAAAAGGAGAAGAATGGATGGCTTATAATTGTTCCTGATAAGCTAATATAGCTAGAATCTTGTCTGAGGATAAAAACCCACAATGATCGAAGCTGAACATATAAAACAAAATGAAAAATGTAATGAAGTAAGTAGTAACATGTATAATTGTATATGATGCATGCAAACATGTATATATATATTGTAATAATAATGAAGTGTATAATATATATAGTACTTAATTATGTATAAAATGTTTATGGAAAAACCAGGCCTTGTAACCGATCCCTTGAGGCTTAAACTAGTCTCCCCAAAAGAGGGCATGCGCTTAACCGAACGGGCCTTAACCGGTCCCAGTCCTAGCCGGGCCCGGCCCTGTTTGACCATCTCGACACTCAACACTAGCACCCAGTACCAACTACTTTGAAAAAATTAACACGGAAATGCAATACAGCCAATAACTCCAGAGCAAATCGCACCCGAGAATGAGCCTTCGGATGGACTATCTTCCACCTTTTACTTGCTGTCAAGGGTCAAGATCTGCCCAGACTCTCTTCTGTAGGAGCTAATAACTTGGGCAGTTACTAGGGTGCTCAAAGAAGCTTGGTGAGCAGGAAAAAAAAAAAAGGAAACTGAAGCAAAAAATCCCATGGACCAAGGAAATGAGTGTGTTTACCCTAGAACCATGACATAAATGCACCAACCATATAAAACAAACCAGAACAATTACACACCAAGATGAGATATGAGCAATGGAGCTTCCAAACTACAAAAATTACACTGAAGAGAATATCAGATTTTTCGTATACCTCGTTACAGCCAAACCTTGAAGATATATAAAGTAAATAATTTTAAAAATCAAATTAGATTACCTCCACAAATGAACTGCCACCTGGATTTCTCATATCACAAGCCCAGAAATACATATGGCTGCTGTGAAGACTATCATCGCTTATTTTCAGGTTCCCAAGGGATGCCTTTATGCTAAAAGAAGATGGAAAAACCTGAGAAAGAACAAGAAAACATATCATATTACACAAATTAAACTATTCCATAAATATGCCATTTTTGAATATCACAGAAATACTATTGTTGAAGAAAGAACTAAGATGAACCTTTATATCAGTTAAAAAATTATCTTGTGACATAGTCGCAAGCTTAGTCCCATCTTCTTTCATCAATAGAATTTGAGCACGAGCCATATTCAGTGTCAAAAAGAATATCGTTCTGGACCTCCCCTTGCCCAGCAGACCTCTGACTTTGGACTCATCAGCAGCAGATGATTGATTATCGACTTCAACTTCCCTAGAGCTATCATTCACGTTGGCTGTTGAAGAATGGTCACTGAAGGATTCACAACTGTCATCCTCAACGCTGATAGCGGTAACAAATTCCATAATTGCTACGATCATAGGCCTTCTACAATAAAATGACAAAGTTGCTAGAGTAACCATCACCTGAATTAAGAAGACAAGTACCACTTCAATTCCAAACATAGCTCACATAAAAGAACTAAACAAAGTAGGGAAAGCAACTCACGCGTTTATCAATATTATCATAGAGAACAGAGTTCGAATCAATGAAAACTATTTGAGCTTTCACAAAACTATCTAATGTGTCGGTAACTTCAAAGTTACTTTCCCCAGCTTGACTAGCATCATCTGGTAGCAATCCAGCAATACGACTAAAACTTGGGGTCTTCAAAATTGTTCTGTCTGATGGTAGAGACCTTGAGTGCTCAAATTCATTCCCTGTACTATCAACTGGATCATTTAGGCTATCAGATGCCTCGTAAAACCGATCGTCTCCTTCACTTTGATTTTTATCGTTGCCACCATAACCTTGATCTTCGACAGTATGAAACACAGAAGGAGCATCTGCATGACGAATAAATGAACGTGCCATGTAACAAGGTTGAAGCACCCCCTTGCATGATACTAAATCTTCTACCTCCAAAGCTTTCAGGACAGTTCCAATGAACATGTCATTTGATCTAATCGAAAGCTCAACCTGTTCAGAAATATCAACTTATGAGAAATAAAATCAATAAGCCATGTAAAAAGGAATACGAATAAATCTCACCCGGCCACCTATTGCTCGCAGTTCAAATAAACGACTCTCCTCAGCCAGAAGCACCTTTATAAGATTCCGATCGGTCTAAAAAACAAAATGAAATGAAAAGAGACATCAGCTTTACCGGTGCCAAAGCAAGGCCAACCAACTACCTCAATAGTCGGGACTTTTACCTGAGTACTATAGTTAAAGCACATTTTCAGCTCATCTAAAACACCGGTTATAAACAGTTTCTCCATCATAGAAACATCCTTCATTTCAAGCTTGTGAACCTCTTCTACTTCTGAATCTTCCGACTCTGATGAAGTTTCTGATAGACCAGTGATAGGAGCAGAACCCTGCAGGGAAACAGTTGAAAGGATCCTCTAATATCTTACACACAAACGCATTAAAAATATGGTAAGAAAACAACACCAACAGATAGTACAGAGTACAGACATCGGAGTGCATGATCCCATCATGCATGTGCAAGGTTTCTATTATGTGATATTACAGTCCAAAACCAACAAAATAGCCCATTGTTTAAGAGAGTAATATCACTATCACAAAAGCAAATCAGAATTGACATTTGGCCTAAGAAATTGAGGGACAAATGTTCCAAGCAAGCATTTCTAACAGCACAAAAGCAAAAACAAGCGTTAATAAGTGAGCATCCCAAGCAGACCACTTCATCGATGATGATACCATACTTCTATATCCAACTAAATGTATCAACAAAGTGACAACCTCAATCAAGCATCAGGGTTCTCACAGTGCTTCTCACATTTCAACACCACCCAACCCTTTTGTGCAAGGCCCCCACTCCCAACTGAACATAGGAAATGAAAATAATCTGTGTGCATAACCTTTTATAATTTACTATTTACACTCCATACTAGTAGTTTCTTACCAGTTAGATATATTTTGATGTTTCATGGTATGGTGCCATATTAACAACGCATTGTTGTCACTAAAACAACTAGCAAAATCAGCACCAGACATAATTCACAAATTGGTAATGTGCTCGCAAAAAGGAAAACATACCCACAAAACAAATACGTCAACTTACTATTAATAGGTAAATGTCCCTCCTAACATAGCCATTCTACTTTTACCATCCATGTAGGAACATATTTTTAACGGACATTTCATCCCCTCTTAGAGGAAACAGATGTCTCATCAATCACTAACAAAAACCAAGAGAGAAAATACCAAAAAGACACCAGTTAAGTTTAGCAAGGTGCAATCACACAAATAGCTACCAAGAAGATTGAGCCAAAATAGTTACCGATGCCCGATAAATAGCCCCCTGCAACAAACTTTTCCAGTTTTTCCTTGATTCTTCTGATTCACATCGTAATATCAAGGCGTTTGCATCTTCGACAACCTACATACAAAGCTACGAAAATGAGAAACAGACCATCCAACCAGTAAGAAACACTGAACAAAAGAACACAGCATTTCTTTTGGTCAACCAAAATGTTCTTTACTAGAAGTAACTAAGCAACCTTGCTGATGGATCGCTCTGTACGACAAACAGCCAACACATTTTCTACTTCGCCAATAATGTCAGGTGGGACACGACAGATTTGTTTTCCAAGCAAGCTACAAACAACATAAAGAATCAACATCAGCACCCAATTTTGAAATACGTATCCTAACAATAAAGCAATACAGAACACTAGAGTGGAAAAATCAGAAAAAACTTGTGTCCCAATTTTGTAACTTATTTTACGTCCTGTATTGTGATTCTGGTATTTGATATTTTACTTTAACATCAAACATTTTGTGCTTGATATTAAAATGATTATATTGTATAATTTTCAAGTAATTGCGTAAAATAAGACATGGTGAAAGACTTTCTGCCAAATGGGCAACATGGTGAGTACCATGTCGACATGGCATCATGATTCATACAGTTGGCTACCGCCATGATTCGACGGTGTGCCATGACAGCTATTGTTCCAAGACATGGTATATGCATTCTCGCCTCTGTTATTCTAAAAGCTGAAATATCGATAGTACCTATCGGTCGTAATGATGCTACAGCCTTTACATTGTGCATGATTACCCTCATATTGGTGAAATAATATAATAATTAGTACATGGTATCATCCATCTCCATTGTGCATGATAATTACATGCCCTCATGTCAGTATACTAATACAATACATGGTATCCTCCCTCTTCTCTGTGGATGTTCTATGTTCACCTAATTCTAGCCCTATATTCCTGTGGTTAGTAGAAGAGCTTCCATTTACAGAGTTCAATGTCAAGGCACGGAAAGATTCAAACTTGGGATCTCATAGAAAGTCCTATACGCCATCAGACAACTCAATGCCCATGATCCCTGTAAATTAGATCGTGTTAGATGTCCAGAAAAGCCGTCAAGATTACATCATGTCACTGAAAAACTCAAAGCCAACCTCGATGTAAAGCTTCCTTTCCTATATATAATCAAGATGACCCCCTTGTTACATCCCATTATTGAATTAGCCATTGCATTTCAGCCTAACCAACTCAAACTGAACCATGATGCACGAGCCTCGGCTGCATACCTTCTACCTACAGGAGTTTTATGCAAAAATCTCTGCCACAAAGGTTCAGATATCTGGTTTTATAGTGGTTTGAAATGCACTTCCTATCAAGAGACTATTTAGAGTCTCCTGATACAAATGACAAGCTAACATTCAAGAATCATTTAAGCATTTAAAACTGATAACAAATGGAAAACGCATATATAATCCAAGTATGGACTCGGAAACACAAAAACGCCTGAAAAATAAGAATATTTGCACCTGAAAGATTGCTTGTATGACCTAGCACCAGGTGCTTCAAGCACATAGAGGAAAGGCCCTACTAAACAGAAATATCTTCGCTGCCAGACAGCCTCCCTACTTCCCACACCCTACACCAAAATATTGATAAACACATAAATTTCACAAATTTAGGAATTCATGATGCAGATTGGAAAGCACGAGAAATTCTCAAAACAGGCAACCTTCCAACTTAGAACAGATAACCACCCCTCAAAATCAGCTAGATCCCAAGGACGGACAAGATTGTCAGTATCATTGTCCTCCCCTTGAAAGATCTTTACAACTTGCATCAGTCTATGATAACGCGCTGGGGAGAAGTGAAATCCCAGGAAAGGAAGCCGCACAGCCAATCTTGTTGTGGGGGAAGAGGGGTCCTCTGATCGGATCTAAATGGAGAGATCAAGTGCTATCAGTTGACAAATAATGAACATGTTTCAAACTTGATACATGTCCAAACAGATGATACCTGTTGAAGCTTTAAAGTCACACCACACTTGTCAATAACAGGCAAAAAACTAACGATGCTAGACTGTGAAGAACGGTCAGACCCTTTCAGAGAATGTTGACTCCATAGATAGTCACCGTCAACAAAAAAAGCAGATACATCACTTAAAACCACATCGAATTGGAAAAAAATGTCAATGCCAGATGGAGAAACGTCATCGTGATCATCCTGTGATCATTGGAAACTTTAAGCAGAATTTTATCTTCATAATGATATGAAAACTGTTCATAGAGGAATCACACTGTACCAACCTGAGTACGAATTATCAAGTTTCCCAGATCAAGCAAGAGTTTCGTGGAATGACAATTGTCTGGAGAAAATTCAGTTGGAATTGTGATCTTGGGGGCTGCTATATCCAAATCCAAGAAGAACCTAGTAGCAATTAAATCAAGTGAGACATTTTGCTTAGATAAACGACGCATTCTTAGCAAATATGAACTGTTTATGGAAAAATGGATGTACAAAGACTACTCCAGTTATAATTATGAGAAACAAGTGCATAACCAGAGACACCATTATGATATATCCACCGCTAAAACATAACCATTAGGAAAAGGCTAAAAAGGCTGAAAATTCCGTCTCCTTTCAAGAGTGCACTTAACAATTGAGTTTCATATGGATCAACTCTTTCCAAAATTGATGAGGATTGTATAGGGTATTGAGAAAAAATAGAATTCTTCAATTAGACTAGAGCGTTAGATTCTTTTTTTCTTTTTACTTCTTTCCGAATACCCCCAGCCATCATCATCGAAATGGACTCAGAAGTTGGGATGAAGCTCATTCAACTGCTGACACCAATGATTTCTCTGTAGATCCTCCCTAAGTATGATAATTACATTAAACTATACAAAAGAGTCTCTATATAAACTTTTGGAGCTAATTGTTTTAAAAACCTATATTAAATAAACTAAAAGGGAATGAGAGGAACTTCCAAAATAGAAGTTAGACCCTAACAATCTAACAACTCCTCTTTACAACATAATTTTCTGACAGTTACTAGATTTTCGACAAGAAAGGAAGTAACTCTAAAAGACTAGAAAGACAGACGGATAGGTCTATTATTATGCACCTGACTTATGAAATTGGGAAGGAGGCAATAAAATTCAAAAGAAATTTTGAAAAATAATTAAAAGATAAAGCCCACCCCAAAAAGGCACACAGCATTGAAGACGAACAATAATCAAACCTGGTATGATCCTTTAAGGCCTTGTTTACTTGTTGTTGTGCTGAGCGCTTAACCTCATCAATGGTAAGCTAAACAAATAAATCGGAAGTCAGCAACATATAATGCAACTATTCAGCTTAAATCCCGGACAAAAACCAACCAGATCACTAATAATGGTTACAAGCACTTGTAAACAATGCAACATCTAAGAAAATCCATGTACAGGTAAGCCTTCAACGTATAAAAATGTTACAATTAATGGATCCACCATTTATTTACTTAAAGAACAGTGGCAAGAAGAACACTCTAGAAACTCCACCATAAAATCTCATGAATATGTTCATCTGTAACCCTACAAAATCATGAAAGCAATATAATACATATCACAAACAACCATTTTTTTTTGCATGCTAACGGCATAAATCTAATGCCAGAATCTTACAGTATAAACTACCAGCCTCACCTACAATGGCAAACAAGAAAGCACATTTTGTATTCACCTCCCCATACTAGAAAAAAAGTACCAGCGTGTTCCTTACGTGGTAAACTTCATAATAAGAACTGTGATGGTGCACAATGGGGAGAAAGGAGGGAGGATCAGGGATTAATATGTTGTGTCTAAACCAAGTTAAAATATAGATAACCATTGAAAGAAGTTGATCAAATTCCTCTACATAGATGGCAAAAGATGAAAACATAAAGAGAATGAACCAACTTTATGCTCCCATTGTCGCTTGAAGGCACACTAGAACAAGCATTTCACAGGTAGCTGATTTCTTCTCTACTTTCTAAAGATAGATATTGACAAGTATACATCATATGACATGAAAATGCGAGGGAGTTTCTAGTCTTCACATCATGAAAAAAATTCAAACAAAAATAGAGAAAATAAACACTTTAGGTCTTAAAGAACAGTGAATGTAACAAACTAACAATTGATTCCGTCCCTTAGAATAAGAAAACAAACTAAAATATGAGATTATGAAGAATCTCCTAATTATTCTAGCTAATCAAATATCTTACAATAATGCCCCTAACTTTGTAGTTCATATTTCAACATAAGCCTTATCATAGATCCTCTCATCATCTGGACCCTGAACATGAACAGGAACGGCCATTACTTATAACTCAGAATGGCAGAAACCCCAATCACCAATCTACATGCATCTAGATTTGCTAAGCAGCATGATGGATTAGACACATTACGCTCTAAGATGTACATTGCTATGCATCGAATCGTTTCTCCAAAAGATGTTTCAAAATTAGTTTCCGTACGACATTGAGTTTATATAGTAAACCACACAAAGAGCACAAGTAGGGGGAAACACCATTCTACGAAATCATAGAAACCAAACCTGCACAGCAGCGGCTGTTTCCAAGGCTATCTTCTGACTCACAGCAGCATTGCTTTCAAAAAAGTTAACAATTCGATCGATGGAGTTCTTGAGATACTGATGGAAGGCATCATATCAGCTGAAAATCTCATTCCAGAAAGACTAAAAAGATGAAATTAGAACTTACCGTCACATAACATGGAGAAGCCTTAGCAATCATACTCCAATCCACCTTAGCATCAAAGGGTTTATAGTGGAAGACCCCAACTAATGAATCATAGGATGTTGCACTCTGCAAGAAAAGATCAGAACCATAGTACCTAACCATCATTGTCAGATGCATATATGCTAGCAGTTGGACACATACACAAATGTTATACCAAACTGTCCTTTACCCTCTCGCACTCAATAATCAAACCAGAAGTCACCACTCTCTGCTAGCCATTGCTTCCCCACCTAAATCTCAGACCACTTAACCCCCACTCTCCGATAGTTCTCTCTCTCTCTTTTATCGCCCACATAACCCTCTCCCTCTCCTTCTCAATCTCCCCCTCCTTACTTCTGATGTATGCATACATCACTCTTTTACCACTTCACTTATGATGATAAGTAAAAGGAAAAGGAAAATCCCTAGTCGGATTGTAGCAAGATGCTCTACGAGAACAAATAAATGTATGCATGTGTGGTCGGTTATATGTAGAAAGACAGAAGGGGATGAAAAGGACTGAACCTCGGCAAGGAGACCATCAGGTGACGACAACCGATAAGATCCCAACTTCATGTCAAAAACTTTTGCATCTTTGTAGAACTTCATCAAACAACCAAGGTTCTCGCATGATAATTCAGCAACAAACTCATGAGCTTCAGCAAGTTTTGAGGCATTATGTTTCATGTGGACCTCTAGCAATGTATGAAGGACGTCCCCCTCGTCATCTTTCTTCAGCAACTGTTCATCGTTATCACCTTCCTTGTATCCAATGATTTCATTCAATTGTTTCCAATCCTCATCGGTAAAGTACCCAGGTTGATTTTCATCTTCAACAGATTCGCTGTTCCTGAAGTCGCACAGTGCAATCACTAAGATAAGAAGGTTCGCTAAGTGATCTTTACTTGACAAGAAAAAAGGATGAGGGTACTACCATCCAAATGACCACCATGATTTCTTTGTATTCTGTTTCTTCAAGTAAATATCAGACTGCGCCGACTTCTCCAAGAACTTGTGTGCCAGCATCCTGCGCAGAGCAAGGCAAAGGTTTGTAACAGCAGGAAGGACAAAGTAGATATTAGATTTAGCTCATCCCATGAATCCCTAATCCTGAAGGACTCTCTTGGACACATTTAAAAATGAAGTGACAAACAAGATTTGTATTGCATCAGCTGCTCAGTTACAATATATTGCACTGCAGCATAAATTTTATACTGAGAGTGAGAAAGTAATAGGTTCATATTGCAATATAATTGAATTCTATAGTAGATTGGGTTACTCAAGTACGCACTAGTAGAGTACAATTTATTGGGAAGGCTAAATATGTGGTTGTCCAATATGCAAGCTTTGCAATTTTGCATATAGAACCTAATCAGAACTACATTCTTGTGACTAGATTTTACTAAAATATCACACCACTAAATTTCACTCGTAATAGGAAGGTGTAAGAATTAGGGCCATTACAATTTCGAATATTTTTTTTATTATATGATGCTAACAACCATTGATAGGAAGGCTAAGGGAAGGCTGGAATCTGTATGCCTTATGTACCATAAGGGTTGATTCCATTGTTATCATCGAGGGAAAAGGGTCAAAACAGGTTTTGCAAACAAAAGAAGTCTTCTTCTTCATCTTTATTTTTGTTAGTTGGTTTGAAATTCAAAATTTCTTGATTCCCACACATATAACCAGTGCCTTCTGTTTTAGATAAAATATCGATCATTAACCTAAAAGTATAATTGTAAAAATAAAGGAGTATACTGGCGAATTGATCCATAAGGTCATAGACGTGGTAATGGTTCCCCAAAATTTAGTAGTTTTTGTTAGGTTCTGAAAACAAGTCCGCTTTATGACATCCACAGATCTTCTAACCCCATGTGCATGCTGTGAAAAAGAAGTCCTTTTTCTACTTTCAACACCCAGGCCAACTTTACTAATAGATATTATGAAGTGCTCAATGAACCATGATAAAAATATTAGGAAGAAGAGTATACCTCCATTGAACTATGAGCTCAATATCAAGTTCGCGATCTAGTTCTTCAATGTCCTCATCATCATCAATGATTTCTCGACCGGGGTCAGATTTTAGGAGTGAAGCATACAAAGATATGTATCTTTTACGTAAGGTTGCATACTTCAGGACCTGCTCCCAAGACATTCTCCCACTGCCACAAGACATGGTATTATATAATAGAAAATTCCAGCCATAAATACACGCATATGGGCTATGTATGCAAACAAGCACATATATTGAAAGAACACAAATACACGTGGATGTGTGCAAAGACACTTATATAGCAAGGGAGTATGAAGAGAATGGCTCAAGTCTAATTGACAGAGCTACCATATACAGATATACTACATAACCAAAGTATTTGCTGGGGCAAAAGCCACCTTTAACTTTCTAAGCACCTCATTTGTATGTCCGTTTTCTTTTATACATTTTGCCAGAAAAACACACATGAAATGAAGCGAGTGAATTACTTTTCTAATCATTGTACTTGGTTGTACTTGCTAAAAAATTGCAAAAATAACATTAATATATGCTGAGTGAGTGAATTTAGGCAAGGTACAACTACAATGGGTGTTTTGAACTGGAATTACAAGTATGATGAGTAAGTGCACTACCCTTATCAAGTCAAATGCTTAGTTTAATGCGAAACTACGAGCAAGATGGTAAGAAAACTCATTTACTCAAATAAATATAATTTTTTAAATAGAAAAGAAAGAAAGAAAGAAAGAAAGAACAATAGCTGTTGTGATTACTGCAATTTACAAATAAAATAATATACAAGTTCTGACTGATATATTATCTTCAAAGAAGACCACAGCTACAATCAACTTTTAACAAGATCATCTGACTGTCACATATATAAACAAATGGAAGATAGTAAAAATATAATAGGCATAGAAAAGAATATGTAAAAATTTAAGCAGATAGTCCTCTCCAATCTACATATGTGCTGCCGCTACCCCCTGGTCAATTCTTTTAACATCTTACAAATAAGTCAAGACAACTTACCTAAGCCTTCATCTCAAGGCTCAAGCTACGCTGGGTAAGCTGAAAACTGAACCTAGAGAAATTACAACATGATCCGGGAGACTCCTCAAGGGGCTCATTTAATATAGTACAGAACTAAATAATGAGAAGATGAGATACTACAGGAAGAAGTGAATACCTTGCCTTCTTCATCTGGTCTGAAACAGCTCTATAGGCATACTTCCACCATGATCTCGGATCAGATTTCACCGGGACAAGGGGACGGAAATGAGCATATTTTAGTTTTTGGTTAAATGCAGAAAAATTATCAGCTAACTTCAGCAAATCCCTATAACCACTCTGCAAATTTGTGAAAGACTCACTAATTAAAGCAACATAATTAATATCATCAGACTTGCTCACAAGGCTGTAAAGTGACCAAATAGAATAGACTTATTAACCTTTGACAAACAAATCGTCACATCATCCAAGCTCACTGCTGCTTTCTGTAGAGGTTGATCTCGATCGGGAGAACTTGTACGCTGTTTTGAATAATTGGCACTTCCAGTTACAGGTTGCAGAATGTATGTGTGTGTCTGAGCAAGAACGCTGGCTGGTTTTCCATCCTTTGTGCCAAAACTGAAGATCTGAAGCGGATCTTAGTACGATGACAAGGTGGCTGAAATCTAAAAAATCAGATATAGCCTGTTCAACATATACAGATCATACCTGATCCCATTCAAAGGGTTGCAAATCCTCCCATGGTTTTGCAATGCGCCATGGACTAATATCAGAGTCCAAATAAACAGCCAGCCTTTCAAGTTCAACAGACTGGAAAAAGTTATGGCAGCAAAGCAAGTAAGAGCACGATTGCAGGATGAGTAAAGGGACTAAAGAAAGGCAGCGAAGTAGAAAGCGAAGCTGCTTCTCTTAGAGATGGCTATAAGTTGTTTTAACTGATTTACTCTACTCAATTCACAAACCAATATTCTCATTTAAAAACTTCTCTAAAAACATCACAACCAACCCCAGGATGAATGGCCACATAAAAACACATAACAATCAAATGAAGGCATCCTCACTAGAGATGACTTAAACACAACAGTGTTTTCATACAAGTTTAACCAACGTCAAAGTGAGGGACATAGGGGGGTGACATACAGAAAGAGAAACAAAATGACCAAACATAGACATAGACAACCTCAATAGAGAAGTGCATCTCCATTCCTCGGACCTAAGTTAAATCACTAGTCGTAGATCTTTTGACTATCAGATCCAGCTCTTGGACCCTCGGAGAATGGCTATTTCGAGGAATATGACAGCCATATCAGGGTATGCAAATAACAACATAACAACAGAGTCTATGTAATAATATTTAATGCAGCTGGCATCCTATACAACCTCATTAGATCACATTCACTTTAACATCATAATTTAGTTGTACTTGTTTATGCAGCTTCTACCTCGATTTCAGATGACTCAAGGTCTCCTCATGGCTCCTCAACATCCTAATCTAGAACGTGCTGCTGGCCTCGATAATTTCCCACAGAAAGCACCTTTCAACTTGAATAGACCTGTAAGGTCCAGATACTTCCATTGCATAACAGCACTTCAATAGAATCCATTTTGGTCATTGCAGCTTTCTGATCTCGGCCCCAAATACCCTTTCAAGGCCTCGTGTCCATAATCCCTACATGGTTACAAGCTACAAAACCCTCCATATGCACTACCTATTTTCTATTTAATCTAAACCCATTAATCCTAAGTTCATATCCAACCTCCAACTGAGTATAGCCTCATCAGGTAACACACCTGGTATATCCTTAAACCTCATCCTCTAACTAAAAGTACAGAATGTTCTTTTGCATTATTTCTAGATTTTAAGGTGGACACTTTTTGTGGGACGGAGGGAATGCTATTCTAGCATATCAGCAAACAACAATATGGTTCAGTAATATAATACTAAAAAAACCTACTGGATCATGGTCCTATTACAAGGATCTATAACCCTATTACCACTTTGGAAAACGGAAAAACAGTAAAAGACCAAGGTAACGATGATAACAAATGAGGCGATCAAGAAATCCCAAAAACATGATTCCCAAGTATTAAATACAAAGTAAATATTACATCAATTCAAACCACATGAACAATAGATTGACCCCAAATTAAAAACAATAAAGTTGTTCTCTGCCATATTGTGATCCCCAAATGGTAAATAAAGCATGTTAAGAAGAAAAGCAAACATGTCAAGGACAACAGAAAACTACATCTAGCAGTGTAATAGCAACACACAAACGATGATTTGGGGTTCCAAAATGATTACTAGAGCTGCAAAGCTTGTGTCATAAGAGAAAGACCTTATGGAGGAGCTCTAATGCACCACCGGTGACAAAAGCCTCCTTCCCACTATCATCAACCGTCGCAGCTGAGAGTTTCTCCAAGGTCACACCAGCAGCAAATGGGTGGCCAAGGTTGCTGAAATACAAAAGGAATTAGCTGAAAACACAACAACAAGACACAAAAGAAAATTTGAAGTTAATTACCTTTCAAGGTCCTCATATCTGATGTGAATACTTGATATCGATAGCTTCAAATTTCCAATTATTGTGTTGATGAAGGACCCCAGCCATGATTTGTTCTTAAAGACAACAAAACAGCATGTTACTCGATTGAATGGGCAAGAAAACATGCATCAATTTAACATGTTAAAACTTCTCTTTAGAATGGATCAAATATTTCTTAAACAGATGCATGTAGCAAACAAGAAGGCTACTATCTGCGTATTATACATCCTCTACAAAAGGGGAAACTATACCACACAAGTAAAAACGGCTTGTAAGATGCTCGTAATAAGGGCATGCACAAGCAGAACAATCAATCTAGACAGCAACATCTTGTCGAAAATGATGAAGTACAGTAAAAATGCAAGTTCTAATCAAAACTTAACAAAGCAATGTCAACTTGTGGTTTTGGATGAAGCTGCATGTTACAAATACAAACTGTTGTCCTTCGGAATCAGTAGTTCTGGAAAAAGGAAAAAAAACGAGAATGGAGAAGATCGAACTGAGTTAGAAATTTACATTTTGTCAATAGCGAGCCACTCCCTGTGGCAAGCAGAAGCTGCCAAACCAAAATTAGCACCGGGTAGACCGATGGAACTAGCCTCAAGCCCTCAACTATAACAATCCCCAAATCATCTGTTGCAACACTAGGCTTGACTATAATGATTCACAAGTCATATGTTGCAACACTGGCCTTGACTACGATTATTCCACAAGTCATTTGTCGCAAAAACCGTTTTCTATCAGTGAAGTACATAAGTTGCTTCTCATCAAACAAATAAAATGTTTGCAGACTTGCCAAGAATCATCATCACAGTCAAATTAATGGCTACATGGAACAACAATCAAGGTTTGAATTTAGGTGCATACCATTTCTGTGGTTAAGATCTGCCTGCTCTCCAGCATCTTCATTTCCATATCCTGTTTTAATAATACAGATTATTTAGAGGATCATCAATCAGACATCTTAGAACAGTATGCCAATGACTTACATGTATTCGGGATTTCTTAGTTTTTTGAATGGCATCCTCACTATACCCTTCAACCTGGGTCTCAGGTTCGGCTAATAAATATATACGATCCAGGTATACCAAAACCGGTTCTTGACCAATCCTGCTCCAAGGAACCTGATAAACGTAAATACCATAAGCAAACTTAAAAATATTTAGAGGCGATAAGCACACAAGAAGATCATCTATTTTGAAACCAATTGCATTTGTCAAAGTGCTTATAGAAAAAGTACATTGTCTTCTCATCAAATGAAATGTGGATTAGACGCATGAAACAGATCAGCCATGAAGAAGTACTTACACAAGTATTATTGAACCAGTATAAGATAATACAAGTACAAATTACTATTAGGGGAACCTAGAAACATATAGTAGCTTAATGAGCCCATGTGTGGGAACTAGTTGTTTCAAGTAAATTAGATACTAGTGATACAATTGCTTATACTCTTCCAGTTACAGCATGGATATTAATCATGCCCAACTGCATGAGTCCAAACCCTGAAAAATGCACCCCAACTGCATCTATACTCAATTTATACCATTCAAGAATGAATATCTCACAATAATCCTTGCATGAAGCTCTACATTCTAGCTTTTTCAACCGGCCTGTCCTATGAATTTTAGTTCGCAACTTCGAGCAAGTGGAGATAGTTGAATGGAGAAGAGAATTAGCTATATCCACGTAATAGGTTCAAGGGGTTACAGAAATACAAAATAGTTAAAGAGGAAAAATTCTAGGAGGTCCAGTTCATATAAGTCTTAAAGTCCCCTTAATATGTTCCAGCCATCTTGAGACACATGAATCGGTCTTCCTTTAGCTCCTTATACCTAAACCACATAAAACCCCCACATCAAGCTCACACTCAAAAATTATGGGGGATCTTAACAAAGAGAGATCATAGAGCACAGTGCAGACAAAGCAAGAATGAAACCAAGTAGCACAATGTAATCAATTTGAATCTGCAGAAACCACAAATTGCAATTCTCTAGGTTGATTGGGAGAAGACTTAGCAGCCCTCACCTTAAGCTTCACTGATCCAAGAAACCCTGCCTTAACCTTTATAGGTAACTTCAGCGCATTGAGCGCCTCCGGCTTCAGTTGCATATTTGTTAATTCTACATCACCTGTGACCAACTCAAACAACCAAATCTCAAAATATGTATAAGAAAAAAATGTATCACAGAGGACTAAAACAGAAATTAGAATCTTTATGTGCAAGACCAACAATGACTTCAGATATCACCAGTTATACAACATGGAACTGACATAAATAACAATAAGGTTTCTGAATATATTCCCAGTGATCAATGGTATTAGAATCTGATATATATACATAGAAAGAGAGAGAGAGAGTCGGGTTCATACGAGAATGATACCTATTTAAGAAAATAAGAGAATGGCCGAATCACATGTGATGACACTAACATCACGTACAAAATCACATGTGATCCACGCGACCTTGCCACGAGGCCATAGGGTCGCCCGCACACTTTTTTGGCCGTTAATGTAAAATCAAGTGATTTTGTACGTAAGTTGGCCATTCTCTTATTTTCTTAAATTGGTATCAACCTACCTCTATATATATACATATAGAGAGAGTTGGGTCCAAATGAACAAGTCAAAATAAGAGAATACAAGAACGGCCAAATCACGTGTTAATATGTTGTTATAGCACAACCTTGGTCGTGACCTAGTTCGAGGGTCAAGTCGTCCGCACACCCTTTTGTTAACCGTGTTCCTAATGGCATGTGATTTCAATGTAAAAACACATGTGATTTGGCCATTCTCGTGTTGTCTTATTTTGACTATGTTCTTGTTTAAACACCTCTCTCTCTCTCTCTCTCTCTCTCTCTCTCTCTCTATATATATATATATATATATATATATAGCCTAACAACAATTTTGTTAGACACATCTAAACCCACTATTGTCATTATTGATGCTCGAATAGGTGGGTGGCAACTCCATCCATTTCAAGGCCACTACCCTAGGCCAAAGTTAATGAGGGCTTACTAGCTTTAAAAACTACACCAATGTCCAATAATAAGACAAAATTATTAGAATGACCTTCCTGGAACTCTGACATTATCTCTGCGAAGTTAAAAAAGATTAGGCCATTGGCCACATACTTAGCAGGTTATGGCATTCAAGTTATACAATAGTTACTGTTTGAATTGCCCAAAAACATTAAACCAACAGGCTATTATCAGTTCAGTTATCACTCGCCCCTAATTGCCCAAATCACTAAAACTAATTCACCAATTCTAATCGACTAAAGAAGCATAACGTAACATAACATATCTAGCCTTTGTTCCTAGTTTCATGCCCTAATCGATATGTGCTCCACCTCTACCGACGCACTCACCAAATGAAACTCAGAAAATTAGTACCATTGCTCATACTATCAAACAAGCATTCAAAACGTAACTATTTTACATAGCACAAACGCTAGTAACCTCGTGGCCAACTGCACAAAACGCATAAACCCTAAGCAGGTAATTCACACCAAAAAGAACATGGACTAATCCAACCACAAAATGAACATTCGAAAAGGCTGCCAGTACTTTGATCAAAGCGAAAAAAAAGTATAATCACAATAAAGTTGAAGGATGATGATGATATTATACCCCTCCAAACGCTGATTTTGAGAGCTTCTTTGCTAAGGCCACGAACATAGTTGCCGAGATACCTCTGCAACAAATAGGCTACTTGGTCCTCCAACATATTACAAGTTTGATTGTGATTATCGAATATTCTGAGAACGGTATCAAAGAAGAAAGAAATCGCAGAAAGAAATTAGAAGGAAAAGGAATCCATATGGATTCCGTTCAGTACAAGTGAAGTATCCAGAGATGGTTCGTGATACCGACGACGGACACGTCTGAAATGGCGCCTCTTAAGGAGCGATAACGTGCCACGGTTGGCCCACCCATTCGAGTTTTAGACAAGAGGAACCGAGAAGGACTTGTAATAAAGATATCCGGTTAGTCGGTAACCAGATCCCGTCACGTGGATGTCACCAGTTCAATAGACTGTCGACTAGTAATCGGTTAACCACATGGAGTCGCTATCTCATAAAACATCTCCCGCAGATTTTTCCTTTTGTTTTCTGAATTGTTCCACTAAGGGGCCGTTTAGCAAATGTTCACTCGAGTAAGTGTTTATCTAGTCATGTACTTGATCGGATGAATATGGTAAGAACCAAAAATATTATCTATTAAGAGCGAGACAAGGACCAATGGTCTTATCCGGTAAGGCGACGACTTCTACCATGGTAAGCGTTTACCGGGTAAATTGTTGCATACAAAGTCGTTTTGGTGGACTAAAATCTTACCCGATAAATAAATAATAATGTTAAATTTTACCGGTAAACACTTACGGGGTAAGTGTTTGGTGAACGGCCCCTAAATTATTTAATTTATGATCATTTTGTATTACTAAATAGAGCACCTACTATGTATAGATTAGACATAGGGGCATTCCTACATGTTTTAGTGGGAGGACATGCTATTTGTTTACATTCATTGGTTTGTAAGGGTGTCAATGCAAATCGGTCATGTCATATAGGCCCGAATTGGACATCCATTTGTTTTGATCATATATGGTCTTCGACATGGACAGACCTACCATGGTGGTTACGATGGCACGTGTCATCATATTATTCCTCCGTCGAAGGGTAAAATAATTTAGGTTCATGAAAGGTGCAACTGTATTAATCTGTTGTATGCCACTGTACGTATTTTGAAACTACAATGAGAACAAGTTTTATTTGGTAGAGTTGGTTTGCAATACTCTTATTCCACCACATACCCAAGTTCGAATCTTGTCAGTGTCATTTTCTTAGTTAAACAGTGCAATTGATTGGGAAAAAAATCCGCATATTTGTTTTTTATAGTCAAACGATACCACTGTTTGAATTTTTTTCCTTATCGCTTTTCTTATAGTTAAATGGTGTCACCGTTTGAAAAAAAATATGGGTCCATCCCTGGTCTTGGATTTCCCATATTGGGTAAAAATGCAAACTTGTAGCTGCAGAAGTAGAAATAATGGCATGCTTGAAGTCGTTACCTTAACCGCAATGAGGGGATGCTGAAAGTAAGGCTAGTGTAGATTGGTGGATTTCTCCATCGATATCGATATATCTGACAAGTGTTCGGAATTCCTCTCTTTAGTAGATAAGCTTAGTTCCCGGTTAGTTTGCGGGATTAGATTGGATTGAGAGATTTAGGATTGAATTTCATTCAGATTTCATATTTTGTTTGAAATATTTAATGTATTTGAAATCCCAAAATTTAAATGAAATCCCCTAAACATAGGATTTTGAAATCATATGGGGTTGGTTGATATTTTATGGGATTTCGTATGGTGTGTATGTGATATTTGTTTAAAATATCTTATAAGCTTTTGTTTTTGTAACAATCAATTAATAAAATGATAATTTAATTATTTTATAGAAAAAATTATAAATAATGGAATTCAATTTCATTCCAAACCATACAAACCAAACACACTATTAATTCCAGATTCTTTCAAATCTCTCTAATTCCAAATCCTTCCAAAAAATCCAAGGGGCTGTTTGGTTCATATATTTGGATGGAATTAAAAGGAATTGGAATTGTCAAATCCTTTGACCAAATTTCAAATACAATGTTTGGTTCATGGAATAAAACTGATGAAATCCTTTCAATTCCAATAAATTATTTCACTCACAGATTTTACATTCAACGGCAATACCTTCGGATTTCAATTCATTTCCGACAAATTCATTCCCTAACACAATTTCATTCAACGTTGCGTCTACCATCTCATCTAATTAATCTCTAGTTCGATCTCCATCTGGTACGCTCGCGCTCTCTCTCTCTCTCTCTCACGTAATTTATCCATCTATACGAGATCGATAGACAACATATATAATCAATGAATCAATTCAAGATAACTAGTTATCGATATCACTAGTCCAATTATGTTATTCAAAAATCATAAAAGGTCATTTGTTGATATTTAATTCTGATTCCAAAGTTGAATTCCGTGAACCAAAAAAAAAAATTCTAATTTGTTAAGAATTTTATTTCAATTCCATGCAACCAAACGTAGTCACAAGACATGGTCAAATTCCATTAAATTACATTTCATTCCCTCAAAGTCAAATTTATTCGATAAATTCCAATTCCATCGAATTTCATTCTACGAACCAAACTCCCCCTAATTACCTCAAAACCATTCATCAAACCAAACACCCCATTAAAGAAAACTCCAAATGTAAATATATCTAAAACGAAAAAGAGAAATGTAACTTTAATATTTTCCACCATCGAGATTAATTTATTATTTTTTTATATAATTTTATTTTTGAACATGTATTGTAATGATAAAATTATAGAATATTTTAATAATACAGTTGATGTTGAAATTCTTTAAAATAAAGAATTTATTGGAGTTGAAAGTAATATTTTTCAGAAATTCTTATTTTTAGTTATTTGTTTTAACGAAATTGTAGAAAATTTATTGAAAATGTTATAGGGTCATGAATCTAAATCAATCTTTCTGATTGCTATTTAAATTCCACCATATGATTTTTCTATATACAGATTAATATTGAAATATTTTTCATACTTCTGATAATACAAACTAGTTATAATGGTGATGTAAGAGGATGTTCAAGAGATTGTCCAAAATGAACGGTTAAATTCCCCTTATTCTAATGGTACTATGATTCATAATCTTATCCCCTCAATCCCTCTTTTAGTCTATCTACATTCCATAGTGGCTGCAACGCGTTGAGACATTTTTTTTACGGTTCCCATACGCCCGGCCCGTCTATTCTATTATAGACGGGCGATTCTATAATGGGCAGACACTACCAACATTTATAAAGATTAAGAGTTCAAATCTCACAAAAGATGATGTTAGAATTTCATTTGACGTATATAAATAATACATACTTTAAAAAAAGATGGGGAAATTGCATCAAAATGGAACCAACTTTCACTTGATTCCTATTTTGGTGAACCAACTTTCAAAATTGTCATTTTGGGGAACCAACTTACACCTGATTCCTATTTTGGAGAACCAACTTGCAAAATAATTATAGAAAATAACTAAAATTTGTTTTTTTTTAATTAATGCAATAAATTTATTTTTCATTTCAAATCTAGTTTTTTTAATTCAGATATCAAATTGAAGAGTTTTTAATAGAAAAAAAATTGATTGATACAATAAAAAATAAATATTAAATATCACATTCAAGATTTTTATATATAACTAATCTGTATCAATATTAAAGTTTAAATCAAATTTGACAAATCAAATCAAAAGTTTGATAGAGACCCTTAAGTTACCTATTCAACAGATCAACCAGACCCTTAAATAAACAAAAAGTTTGATAAAGACCTCCAAATGACGATTTTGAAAGTTGGTTCCCCAAAATAGAAATCAGGTGAAAGTTGGTTGCATTTTGGTGCAATTTTCCCAAAAAAGATTATAGATATCGAATAGAGAAATTTATAAAAATAGTTAATTTCATGATTGGTTTCACCTCCTAGTCATTTTCTTTCCAAGTTTACCAAAATAAACATAGGTGCGCAAAACCCATGTCTGTGGTATAGCGGGCAAAGTAAAACCTTGAGCCTTGTGGTATAGCGGGCAAAGAGGACAATATCTTGGGACAGGTGCGCTTCTTCCTTCCGTTGGGCCACTCTGTATTCAATGACGCGTTTTGGGGCTTGCGTTGTGCGGCTGCCAGAAACAAAACCGTGCAGCTACTGCTTTGTGGTTAAGCGGGCAGGTTAGCCAAAGCGGACAATATCATTGCTACGGGGTTTGGGGGCGTTACAAGCCTTGTCCGGAAAAAGAATTTCACTTTTCACTCAGTTTGTAAATAAATTACATTTCTCACCCAGGTCTGCAAAAAATATAAAATAAAAGTGTGGAGTTAGGACTGTTTTGGTAAACCTTGTAAAGAAATGGGTAAGAGGTGATATAAACGAGTAAAAATAGTTATTTTAATTAATTTCCCTATCGAATATTTTGATCACTTTATAGAAGAAAAAAAAGGAACGTTTAGTTCTCAGAGGCAAAAAAAACACCTGTAATCCATTTCAAATTGTTGAAAGCACAATTCGGAACACCTTTACATCACAACTTTATAGCCTTTACATGATTCCCGACCTACGGATTCTTGAAATACAAATGTTCTCGGTGTTCATATATTCCCATATCATGGTCGGAAAACATCCGAAAGTATCAAATACTTCATTAATGTCACGACTACGATAAAAACCCGAGATAGCTTCAGTATATTCTCATTAGTCGTACGTAACGAACCCGTTCAAAATTGAATTTGAAGAAATATATAAATTTTTAAAGGGGAAAATATCTTTAAAATCAATAATGGGCCTGGTTTAACCAACGAGTGTTAAATAATACATCAGATTTGTGAGCCCATTGACAACAAGGTCACAATTCTCAAATGCCTACCAAAGCCCGTTAGGGCACCTTTTAATAAAGGACCTCCTATTTGGTCCAGGCCTCGGACATAATTGAATCGTATAGAATATTAGTTTTATTTTATTAATTAAATGGTTTTTATTTTATATATATATATATATATATATATGTGTGTGTGTGTGTGTGTTAAGTTGAAAGTATCGTGTTAAAAGTAGCTTATAAACCGACTAATGCTACTTAAAGTGTTATTTCAATATTTTTAATTTTTCATAATCCTTTTGCCATTTTTCTTCCAACTACCCTTACTAATATTTTATTTAATATTATAAATTATTGAAATTATTTTTTGCTTTTCAAAAATAGTAATATTAATTATTATAATTAATATATTATTTTTTAATTATAAATTAACATTTAAATAAAAAAATT